GAGTGGCGTTCACGCTAAACATGGGGCTAATCTGGTTATGGTTTAGCTTAACCAGAGTCATGGCTTGGATACCGTCTGAGCCCAAGCTGAGATAATCCTGGCACTTTCCCTCACGCCCATTGCCCACTGCAGGTGCTATTGTGTGACACGGAACATGATTTGAGGTGATTTAAGGGGGGGGTTTGCAGCGATTGTATATACAGAATGAGATTCCCCATTTTGGCCTCGCTGGCACTTGTACCAATTCAGGTGTTGTCCGTACAATTACCTCTGAAGCCGATGGTCAACCAAGCCCCAATGGCTATACCGGGCACCGCAAAGGACTCCCCCCTTGCAGAGGAGACGAGAAAAGAGCTATGGGGACTACACAAATCCCTGGTCAACATCGAATCTATCACAGAGAACGAAAATGAGGTGGCTAAGTGGCTCGAAAGCTATCTGCAGCAGCGAGGTCTCAAGACGGAGCTTCAGGAAGTCTCGCCGGACCGCTTCAACGTCCTGGCTTACCCTGAGGGCCGTCGAGAAAGTCGGGTCCTGGTGACTTCTCATATTGACACGGTTCCTCCGTTTTACCCGTGGGAATACAACGAATCTACCAATGTCGTCTCGGGCCGTGGCTCGGTGGATGCGAAAGGAAGCGTGGCAGCCCAGGTTATTGCTGCGTTAGACGTTGTCAAAGGGTACAAAGCGACGCAGAACGCGGAACCATCCCTTTCATTGCTTTACGTCGTCGGGGAAGAGACGGGGGGCGACGGGATGGCGCACTTTTCTTCGCACAAACCCTGCAACTACGCCTCCGTGATCTTCGGCGAGCCGACGGAAGGCAAGCTTGCGAGTGGACATAAAGGGAACCTTGGCTTGAAATTGATGGCGAAAGGGAAGGCCAGTCACAGCGGCTACCCATGGTTAGGGCTGAATGCCATCGATATTCTGATCGAGGCCTTGCGCGTCCTCAAAGGCCTGGTCGGGACGTTTCCAACCAGCGACAAGTACGGCGAAACCACGCTCAATATCGGAAAGATCGATGGCGGGGTCGCCGCGAACGTGGTTCCGGCAGAGAGCCACGCTCTCCTTGCATTCCGGCTCGCGACCGGCTCCGCTCCAGCGCAAAGGGAGCGAATCTTAGCCGCAATTGAGACGGTCCAGCAGAGAGCAGAGGAGAGAGGGGGTGGGCTGGAGACGGAGTGGGAAGCGGAGGGATATGGACCTATGGATTTGGACGCCGATGTGCCTGGATTCGAGACGATGGTTGTGAATTATGGAACGGACATCCCGAACCTGGCGGGAGACCATAAGAAGTATTTGTATGGTCCTGGGAGCATCCAGGTTGCTCACGGGCCAAACGAGGAGCTCACTGTATCGGAGCTGGAAGAAGCTGTCAAGGGATACAAGACTTTGATAGAACACGCGCTGGAAGATACCAGTTAAGAATCGTGGCTGCTTTACACATCGTATATTACATTGTGCAATGCCAATTCGGCTTCACATTAAACTTGACCGGCCTCCAATTTCATTGCCACCCTGCCCGTTCGGCAGGTCCCCGCTTCTCCCTCCGACGAAATCATCGTAGATGCGTTGCAGCCTTCTTTGCTCGGGAGCGCTGATGGACGCTCGGGTCGTCGAAAGCGCTCCCACCAGATGCTTCCAACTCACCTTCGGCTGTTTGGACTCGGTCTTTGCTTCTGTCGCCTCCGCCGGAACAGAATGCAGGCTTCTCGCGTCCTCATGATCATGCGATGTCCCCTGCTGTTGCTCTTGCAATTGCTTCTGCCGCCGTCGTGCCGCTTGCATGTTGCTCAGCTTGGCGGCAATATTGGCCCTCTCCGCCAGTTTGGCAGTCGACGTCTCACCGGAGCCCACAGCGTACGACCGTTCGTCTTCGCCGAATTGGAAGTGGAAGAAATCAAGCTGGCCGGTGGGTTTCGGTGGCCCTTTGGAGACACCGTTCGGTTTCGGTTTTCCATCCGCCATCTTACTAGAGCCGATATCATTCGCATCGTCTTGGTCTAGGAGCTCATGGATAGCTTCGAGCTGGGCGTTCTGCACCACGGCTCGAAGATCCGCTCCACTGAAACCTTCTGTACGCCTCGCCACATCTACCAGTTTACCATTGTCGCCCGGCGCATTATCGGGGGACCACACGTCGTCGGAAAATTTGACTTTCGTTCCAAGAGCCTTCAAAATGTCGACACGATCTTCCAACGTGGGCATGTCGCAGATCAGGCTCTTATCCAAACGACCGGGTCGGAGCAATGCGGGATCGATCAGATCTGGTCTGCTCGTCGCAGCAAGGACATAGACGCCACTCAGGCCTTCAGCACCGTCCATGAGAGTGAGAAGCTGGTTCACAACTCGATCAGTGACCCCGGTGCTGTCGTGACCTCTCTTTGGGGCGATCGAGTCGAATTCATCGAAGAAAAGCACGCAAGGTCGCGCTGCTTCGGCGCGTTCAAATAGGTCGCGCACACCTTTCTCGCTTGCACCGATGTACTTGTTCAAAATTTCGGGACCCTTGACGCTGATGAAGTTAAGCCCGCATTCGGAAGCGACGGCGCTTGCTAACAAGGTTTTGCCGCACCCGGGGTATCCGTAGAGGAGGAGACCACTGCGAAGCCGAAGAGGACACGAGGAGAAGATTGGTGCATAGGTGGTGGGATATTGGAGCGTCTCGAGGAGGACTTGTCTGGTGGTGTGCAATCCTCCGATACTATCCCATCTGGTCGTTGACTGCTGAAGTGTAACGTTCCGCAACGACGCCGGAGTAAAACCTTTCAACGCACTTGTGAAATCCGCCTCGGAGAGGGTTGCAGGACCGGAGTCGTTATGCGAGTCTGTTTGCGACGAAACGACCCGAATAAGCGCCTCGTTACGAGCACGACTGGCAAGCAGGACAAGGTCGCCAGGCATGTAGCCATCCGTTTGCCCAGCAATCTCAAGGAAGTCGATCGAGGGGTCCACAACGAAGGATTCTGTGTGGTTGTCATCGATTCGCGGCGTGCCCGGTCGGCTACCCAGGTCACTAAAGTCGCTTGAATTCTCTCGTGAATGCCATGCTCGAGCACGCGAGGGTTGCCTGGAATGTTCGCTAATGCCATTCGACTGCTTCGGCTCCTCCTGAAGGCTTGCGTGTCGCTTCGTCAGGAGTTCCAAGACTTTCCGCCTTCCCTCCTTGTTCGGAGCTTTGACCGTTACGATCTCGCGAACTACGTGCCCTCCAATGATCACGTTGTTGACCGACTCTTTCCCAGGAGCAGTCGCGAGAAGTACGATGCCGCTATCCTCCGTGCAGTACTGGCGAACAATAGCACATAGACATTCGCTGACATGCCGACTCCTCCCATTTTCTCCACCTACTTGCAACTCCGTCTCCACCGGGGTCAAACGATCCATGTCATCCAGAACAACGATGGATCTACCGCCGAGTCGGGCACCCCAAGCAGCGGATGCGAAGACCCGTTCTAGGTTCTCTTTGATCGTGCCAACCCGAGTCTCTTCAGTGACCAGGCTTCGGCAAGGGAAGTATACGACGTTGTACAGTGACTCATCGCGAAGCTGTTTGGCAAGCAGTTGGGCCAAGTTTGTCTTGCCCGACCCAAGCCCACCAGTCAGAAGGACAGATGAGGAGTTACCGAGGTGCATTCTGAGGTCTTCGATCAAGTGATCGATACCAACCATTTCTGGTATTTTTGCCGGTAACGGTTCGCCTGGAACGGAGAGAGTCAATTTGCTCGACGGCATTCCAATCTCCGGCTGCGTATCGAAAGAAAATTTTCGTTCGGCGCCCAGGAACCAAAATGTGCTTGGCTTGGAGGAGTCGTTCGGTGTTTGCGGAGGCTCGAAACGCACAAGACCCCCTGGCCAGGTGAGAGCTCCAGGAACCCCTTCAATGGAGGGTAGGACCATTCCATCCGTAATGGGACCATCGCATAGTCCATTGCCGAGAGGCCCTTTGCCAAAGAGAGTTTTCAAGCGCTCGGAAGCTTCATCCTTCTCTTGCTTAGACTCACCCCCAAATTTGATGCTGGAGGTTTTGGAAGAGGAATCGCTTGTGGCGAATGGGAAAACCTTGAGAGTTTTCACCGCCGAATCCCTGGATCCTTTCATTGCACTGGGTTTGGCAACTTGCAAAGGAGCAGCTTCGATCCGTACAATTCCACCTACGAGTCCTTCCGCAGCAAGGACTTGACATAGAAGGGTGGAGAGTGCCATGTGATTGCTATCTGGAGCATCGTCCCAGGCTTCCAGTTTAGCAACCACCTTGGCAGCTGGCTTCTCGATTTCTGCCTCTTTCTGTGGATCCGCAGGCTCCTGGAGGCCGAGCGGTTTAACGAGCGACACAGAAACCCAATTTACGCCTTTCAGCTGTTTTGACATCAAAAGCTGGCGGTCCACCCAAACTTTCAGTCCATCTTTTTGCGTCTCACTCGGCGGCTCGTCATCGAACCATTCCGACGCCAAAGAGCGATCGACGCCTCGAAGGAAGAGGCACCCGCGGTTCGAAGGATCATCCCGATGTCGATTTCTGGCCGCACTTGCGCCGCTTTTGCCGCCTGCGCTTCGTCTCCCAGCGCTGCCAACACTTCGAGTTTCCCTCCCCGTGCCCTTTTCGCTCTTTTGGCGCGTTTTAGGCGCAACAATGATTTCCGCATCCGGAGAGATCTTAACAAACGGCGTAGTATTGCTCGGGGCTGGAGCGAGAGACGTGACCACAATATTCGCAGTAGAGGTAGGGGACAGGTGTAGTGTAATCGGATGCGGTGGTCGCTTGGAGGCTTCTTTGTTCTTGGAAGGCGGTTCGTATAGAGGATTCGGCAGCGCCCGTACCTGGGATAGAAAATTGAGCTCCAAGAATTGCGCATGGAGCTCAATCATTTCCCAATCGGCAGCGGTGAGCGGTTCGATATTGATGGTGGTCGCTTGAATCGGTTCAAGATGAAGCGAAATCCCAACCTATGTCACAAGTTTAGCCGTGGGAATCACAGCGGAGCAGTGTCGAACCACCTTCTGCAGGTTATGGAGACCGAGTAACCGCGCAAATGTCGTGTCTATTTCAACCACGCTCACGTCTTGCTCTCTGCTACCCCTGGCTAATCCATCTCGTCCTACAACAGGCGCAACCTTTCGCTTGCTCTGCATGCCAGTCCATCCTACGAATATGGACCGAGGTGTAGACCCGGACGTCTGGCTGCTGCCCGTGGGGCTTGGCTCGCGATAGGATATCTCAACTACCACATTTTGGGCAATCTTTGAAAGTCAGGCTTAGTTGGCCGTTTCGAGAAAAGGGAACTTACTGTATTCGCGTTGACCAGCGCGGAAACCAGACTTATGGGAAGATTAACTAGACAGTTCTTCAACTCGAGGAGGGCGATTTCGCCTTGGACGGACTGGCCAGACTGGGCCATTGTCATGACAAAATGAATCCTATCATAGCACTTGTACCAGGGAGCAAGGAGGAAGACAGAGAATCAAAGCCTGCTTGATTGCGAAGAATTGTTGAAACAATAGTTACGAACTGAACTGTACATCCACGTTCCATAGAGAATCCATCCTTGAACCGAACTTCCCGTCTGCGTGATCACAGTTAAGCCGAGGTGGCCGAAGTTCAGCGACTAAGCCACATCTGATGTGGGTCCAATCTGGGGGTGAGGCTGGGGACGACAGGGGTTTGGATAGAATGTCTCACGTGACTAACGCGACAACGCGACGCGTGCTTCTAGGAACTTAAACCCTGCCACCTGGTTTCTGTGAAGCGCTCAAGTTCGACGACACCAACAACACAGCAAAGCACAGTAACTCAAGACATCGATCATTCTCTCTACCATCGACGTGACAAAACAAAATGGCGCTCCCTCAGATGAGAGCGCCGGTGAACTATACAGAGCAGCAAGGTAATTTACTTAACGCGCATCCGTTGCTTCTCCTGACGGATGATAGATGCGATCCAGGATTTTTTGAAGTCTTTCAAAGCAATTGAGACAAGCGAAGCGCTGGAAACGCTGAACATCAATGACGATGATCAGGATGAGGAGTATGATTTCATGGACGAGTCAGACGAGGGTGGAAGGGGCCAGCGAAGAGGGCAAACCAGAGCATCACGTCAACCGAAGGTCAAATACATGCGGTTACTGCAAGATGTTGCCGACAGAAAGAGCAGTCATGTTTTGATTGAGCTTGACGATCTTGACGAAGTACGTTTTCCGGTATCCTTTGCACAACCTCAGCTAATTTTCACAGTATGAAAAACCGTACCGAGAGCAAGGCCAAGACTTTCAGCTAGTTTCCTCAATTGAAGGGAATGCGCAGCATTATATCGAGATTTTCTCGCGTGCAATTGACAAGGTCCTACCTGAGCAAACCGCAGACCTAACGTATGTGCATCATTGTATATATCAAGCATCGTACTAACCACCAAAAGCTTCAAAGATGACGTCCTTGATATCATAGTCGCTCAACGACAAAAGCGGAATGAAACAATCCAAGAAGCTCAAGAGGCTGGTATGCAGTCTCTAGATGCGGAAATGGTCTTTCCTCCTGAGTTGACCAGACGCTATACGGTCAATATCAAACCGCGTACTCCGTCCGGCTCTTCAGACGAATCGATATCCTCAAAAGCGCTTGCGGTGCGCAATATCAAAGGAGAACATCTCGGACAGTTGATTACTGTCCGTGGTATTACGACCAGAGTATCTGATGTCAAGCCGTCAGTGTTGGTTAACGCCTATGCCTGCGATCGCTGTGGATTCGAAATCTTCCAGCCCATCACCACCAAGCAGTTTGCTCCCTTGATGGACTGTCCTGCGAAAGAATGCAAGGATAACGGTAGCCGAGGAGAACTATTCCACTCCACACGAGCAAGCAAATTCTTACCCTTCCAGGAGATCAAAATTCAGGAAATGTCCGACCAGGTTCCTGTCGGTCATATTCCTCGTCTTTTGACAGTCCATGCACATGGATCGTTGTGCAGACAAATCAACCCTGGAGATGTGGTTGACCTTGCAGGAATTTTCTTGCCCATCCCGTACACGGGTTTCAAAGCCCTACGTGCTGGACTTCTCACCGACACATACCTGGAGTTACAGTGGACCAATCAACACAAGAAAGCTTACGATGACATCGTTCTGTCTCAGTTGACTTTGAGCAGGATGAGCTCACTACAACGATCCGGGCAGCTCTACGAGTTTCTATCGCGCTCGATTGCCCCCGAAATCTTCGGCCACATCGATGTGAAAAAGGCGCTATTGCTACAACTAATCGGCGGCGTTACCAAAGAAATGGGCGACGGCATGCGAATTCGAGGAGACATCAATATCTGCTTGATGGGTGATCCCGGTGTTGCAAAATCCCAATTGCTGAAGTACATCACTAAAGTCGCACCGCGTGGAGTATACACGACAGGTCGTGGGTCCAGCGGTGTAGGTCTGACCGCAGCGGTGATGAGAGATCCAGTCACGGATGAAATGATCCTTGAAGGCGGAGCCCTGGTCCTGGCCGACAACGGCACCTGCTGTATTGATGAATTTGATAAAATGGACGACTCGGACCGCACAGCCATCCACGAAGTCATGGAGCAGCAGACCATTTCCATTTCGAAGGCCGGCATCAACACGACCCTGAACGCTCGCACGTCAATCCTTGCCGCTGCTAATCCGCTCTATGGCCGGTATAATCCACGAATCTCACCTGTTGAGAACATCAATCTCCCTGCTGCCCTACTCTCCCGATTCGATATCCTTTTTTTGATGCTCGACACCCCGGACCGCGAATCCGACGAAGAGCTGGCGAGACACGTCACTCACGTACACATTCACAACCGGCATCCCGATCCCGTAGGCACGGACGGCACCATCTTCTCTCCGGCAGAAGTCCGCCAATGGGTCGCACGAGCGCGCAGTTTCCGGCCGGTGATCCCAAAGAGCGTGGCTGATTACTGTGTTGGTGCATATGTTCGCATGCGAGCCCAGCAGAAGCGCGATGAGAATTCCAAGCGTGGAGCTTTCACTCACACCACCCCTCGTTCTCTCCTGGCGGTCCTCCGTCTTGCCCAAGCTTTGGGACGGCTGCGATTTGCCGAGGAGGTCATATCCGAAGATGTCGATGAAGCTCTGCGTCTTCTGAACGTCTCGAAAGCCAGCTTGTACGCTGACGAGCAAGATCGCAATGCTGACCAGACTCCAGCGTCGAAGGTCTATCGCCTGATACGCGGCATGAAAGAAAGTGGTGCAGCGGCCGTCGGGGATGGATCGGGTGCCCTCGATCTTAGAAGGGTTAGGGAAAGAGTCATGGCCAGGGGCTTCACCGAGGACCAATTTGAGGAAGCGGTGGATGAATATGCCATGCTTGACGTGTGGCACACGACCACGGACGGAACAAGGCTTATTTTCATACAGGTTGACGATGAGGATGAAGATATGCAGTAATATCGGTACTGGTCCGTATGGTGTTTCTATAAGCGTTCTGGCGCAAATTCCTCTATTGGTCATGGCAGTATGAGTTTTCATGTATGGTTTGGTAGCCCAGTGCAGAATTGGGAGCATTCTTTTCGTTTTCCACCCGCGCAGTAAGCCGTGTCGGCTTGGATACCTTTACGCACATTCTAACGCAACGATGCCTTTGAGTCCAATTGGTAAAATTGCATACAAGAAGATAATGACGTCGGTTCAACCACGCCGAAGTTCACAACCGTCTTCCCCTGCTACGATCGTTGCGTCTCTTCTTCTACCTGCTGCCGGACGGGGGGGCCAAACCTCCCGATCCACCCGAAAGGCCTCCAAGCCCACCTCCTGAGCCGCCAAGAAGACTTGCCAGACCTCCGGATGAGCCTCCAGAGAGACCAGACAAACCGCCGAGTCCTCCAGATGAACCGCCAAAGAGTGACCCTAGACCTCCGGATGAGCCTCCAGAGAGACCGGACAAACCACCGAGTCCTCCAGATGAGCCCCCAAAGAGTGACCCTAGACCTCCGGATGAGCCTCCGAGACCTCCAGATGAGCCGCCAAGGAGACCTCCTAGACCGCCGGACGACCCTCCGGAGAGACCTCCTAGACCGCCGGATAAGCCTCCGGAGAGACCTCCTAGCCCACCTGACGAACCACCAATACCTAGATCGAGCATACCATCAGAACCGAACTCGCCCGATGAGTAATTTCAACTTACCACCAGAGAGTCCTCCGAGCGCTCCGGTCGAGCCACCTGAAGAGCCGGTCGAACCACCTGAAGAGCCGGTAGGTTCTTCGGTAGAAGTCCCGCCGCCTGATCCGCTCGAGGAGCCGCCTCCTGACCCCGCGGCGTTGATCTTTTGAACCAAGAAATTCACTGCGTCCTTACCATCGCCATTGGAAACATAAGCCTGGAACCCTGTTAAGGTATGCTTTTACAGGATCATCCGTTTTCTTAGACTTACGAAATGCCCACCAGTGACGCTGAGCCCTTGACCGCAAACACCATCGTCCTCCTCGCAATAGATCTTGATCTTGTCCTTCGGGAAGTTCGGAACCTGGCCATTGTCTTCCGCGTTGCGAGTGTCTCCAAAGAGAACGCCTCCTGCAATTTTCTCCTTAATGTTGTTTGGAAGGGCTTTGACAGAGCCATGCATGACAGCAGTCCCTTGGCTGTTCCTCGACATCAGTATGTCTCGACACAGAGTAGCGTGGAAAGAGGAAAGAGATATGGAGAGGCTCACCTGAAGCCTCCGAAAACGATGATGGAATCCGGGCATTTCGTATCCGCCGTTGTGAACATGCGCGTCGCTTCGCCAATGGCCTCTTGTGTGGTGCCCTCTGCTTTAACATTGTCCATCAAGCCTATATGGTTTAGCTGTCTCCATTCCACACGTCGGACCTTAGGGCATACCGGCGGTATAAGGCCCGCCGACTCCTTGGCAAATCACGTCGTTATTCAACGCTGATTTCAGTCCACTGCACACCTGCGGGCCCATACTTCCACCCTGAATGATCGTTAGCGGAGGACATCGACCCTGGGACTTCGCGGCAGCTTACCATATTCCCCGCCTCTGTGGAGGCACGGGCGAATATCAGGATGACCTTCTTGCAGCTACCCTGGAGGAGCTCATTGGAAGTGGAACTTCCCGATCCGCCTCCGAGACCACCGAACTGCGGCGCTGCCGCAGTCAGGCCGCTCAGAATGGCGATAGGAGCGGTATACTTCATGATGCTAAGCTGGCACCTCTCAGAGGGAAGCTAAAATATGAGAATGAATGGCAAATCAAGAATGAAAGAGTGTTCAAACAGGGCAGTGAGAAGGGAACTGGTAAGGCGTAGGAAAGCGAGGTTCGGCAGGAGAGTCCATTAATCTTATACTCCGTGCCATCATGCGAATACCTTTACTCACAAAGCCAAGGAAGGTATATGATCTTTCAAGGGGTGATGATTGTACCGGGTAGGGTAGACAAGCTCCCTAAAACATTGTCCATGTCCGAATTTCTGTGAGATTCAAAGTGCATCCCTATAGGCAAAGCCAAGGGCGTTCTAGTCCCAGATCAATATAGGAGCTATTGCGCACAGACGGGGTTGTTTGGAGGAATTGGGGTTGAACGAGAAACGCCAAGCTATCTATATCAGTGGACAGGGGATTTACAATATATATGTGACGAGCACGAACCCCTGAAGGTTTATTCATCTCCTTGCCCTACAGAACCGATATGCATTGGCCGACGGTCGATGGATATATATTGACCTCATATATCTAAAGCGCCATATCAAAAGGGTTCTGCATAGAAAGTAAAATGGAGTGATGGTAGTTCGGAGTAGACGCAATGAAGCCTAGTTTCGCACAGGGTTGGATAGCTTTCTAAATTATGCATTTCCAACTTGCCTATTATTTCATTTGTTGTCATATCGATGCTGGTTTGTAGGGCGAATAGACTCATAATGCAAGCCTTGGCCATCTATTTCCACCTTCCTGTGGCGGGTAGTAAAGCTCCGCGATACCAGTAAGCTAATGTTTCTTGAGGCCACCCGACAGCACATATATTGATTTCCGGATCGATCTGTCATTTCCACCTAGGCTAATATTCGGCCCGGTTTGTGATGAGTCTATTTATACCGGTTCGACTCAGATGATCATCATAAGAAACGTTGCCGATTGGTTTGAAGAGTGAAGAGTGACCACGGTAATACACTCGGACGGTCCGGGCACGGAAGGTTTCCAAATTGATAATTCAATCGGTACATGGAATATTACATACCATGCCAGCAGTACGAGTGCCAAGAGCGAGGCCAAAAGCAAGATTGGCAAGCGGGATCAGTCAAACCGGAACGTCTCGTATCAATTCGCGCCGAAATATGAGGCACACCTCTATGCATATTGCTTCCGACTCGGAAATTCCGAGCAACTCCTCCCAATGCATCTTATCACCAAGATTTCGAATATCCCAGGATCAGGTGCAGGTCCTAAACTTTATTTCACTTATTGACTGTCTTCCGCGCGGGGGAGCTGGGCAGAATCTTCGATCTCACGGCCCTCCAGATTTCGTTCCGTGGCGGATGATCGCTTCACGTGGGTGTCTTGCAGATTCGGCTCTGTGCCGTCCCTGCTTTGCGCGCCCGGCGAGATTGTGCCGTCGGCGCCTCGTGGCTTTCGCTTCCAGCCGGTTTTGAAGAGCTTTCCGAGCTCGAACCGTGGGAACGGGTGCGCTTCCGTATTGAACACGACGGATTCCAATGGGAGTAGATCGTTCGGTGAGAATAATAGATAGAAGTACTTCAGGGTTTCAGCCTAGCGTATCATTAGTGACATGATTTATACAGCAGATGCTGCCGACGTACCAGCCAGAAGCTCTCCATATTGTCTCTGGGAGAAGGAGGAATCTTCGTGACGTCGCCGATACTGGTGAACCCCGCTCCATCATCCACAGCAGTATGTCGAACGAAGGATTGGAACATCTCCCAACCCCAGTGACGATAGATTTCATCGCCTGTTATCCGCCACATATAGAAGAGGCTCTCAACCGTTTCTGGACGCTGCAAGTTATGAGCATCAAGCGGTTTGATGATGATGTCACTCCGCCAAGATGCATCGTCTGGATCGGAGGACGAGAAGTGATCCGGAGAAGCCAGCTTGCCCTCCTCAAGCATATGAGGCGGATCGTGGAGATGGAAATGCGCGATCTCCGGCGCCAAGCCTGTTACGGGGGCTTTGTACATGGCCCAGCAGGTCTTCGTTAGCTCTTTTGCAAGATCGAGATCTTCCTCTTGCTGCTTCGACCATTTTCCCGACTGCTTGGCTTGTGCAACGCTGACACCGCCAGTTGCAGCCAATGCGATGGTGCCGGGCATGAAGCAGACGAGATGATCCATCTTTGGCTCGATATGCCCATCAATGCCATTAGGGCGCTCAGCGAGCAGTGTGAAGTTCGAAGGAAACGAGTACGTGACCAAGTGTTTTCGAATGCCGCGAAGGGCTTGCTCCCACATATCCAGGTAGATCGGCTCTTGGTTGGTAGTTTGCAGATATTGCTTGATCAGGTATTCTAGAGCGCGTCAGTATACAATTCCTGCTTGGCGGAGTTTCATACGTACCGTAATAGGAGTCCCCTCGACTTCCTAGCCGAATATTACTCCCTCTAAAGGTTCCTTGATCGGCATAGATGAAGATCGGAACCAACCCATCCTCAGCACCATTGTCATCTACAACCTGCATGACCTTCTCCGCTGTCTCCCAGTAGTGCGTCTCTCCAGTTAACTTCGCCAGGTATTTCATCTCCAATTGCAAACTGGTCGCTTCTGCGGTGGACGACGCGCCGCCATCCGCATGGGACAGGATGCCTTTCGACGTGCGCAAGTTCACGCTGGCATACGGGACGCCCGAAGAGGACTCATACGCGCCTAAGAGCCGATCTGCAAGGTCCGACGCTTTTTCAAGGTATAGGTCTTCATTTTTTGGGGTTCCAGCGGGTAGCGGAGCCATATCCGGGAAGGCAGTAGACAGGTAATGAGCTGACAGCAGCCCGCCAAGCATCCGTATCGTTGTCTCGAAGGTGTTGACCTCGTGATCCCGGTTATAGTCCAGTGTTGTTGAGATCCAGTCCCGGGCATGAGCCAGTTCCGTGGTCAGATTCATGAGCATCAGCGTGTCTAGAGCATCCACTATGATCCAGCCGACTCCGTTCGGGGGAACCATCTGTCGATTGGTCTTGGAGATAGGTCGATACTCGTCGAATCCCCATCCATAATCCTCGTAGGCTTTCCAGCTAATCTTGAACGCATCTCGTACTTTTTCTCTTCGCTCATCCCAATCCGGTTTTCCGTGGGTTTGTGTTGATTTCCAGAAGCTGGAACCGCCTTTCTGAACTCTTTTTACATTCTCATGAGAGAGTAATCCTTTCCAGTATAGGAACCCGAATACCGTCAACAACAAAAAGAAATAGACGCCATTTTTCCGCCATACTGACTTTCGTCTTGACGCCGCGTAGTATGGCTTGTCCTTGTACATGGGCAATCCCCCACTTCCGCCATCGAACATTCCACCAATTCTATCCGCCACTCCACCACCGCCATGTCCCGTCCCCGAAAACCGCGAGCGTCCCGTCGTTCCCCAAACCTGATCCTCGAATCTCCGTTGCGGATCCGCGAAGCTCGGCACGTTCCGCGGTAGTTTGAACGACATGCTCTCGTCCTCCGTTCCCGGCGATAGCGCCGCGCTCGCCTTCTCAGCTCGAACGCTCTCGGGGATGTATTTGGCGGTCTTGCTCTCGAAGACCTGTTTCCCGGATTCGAGGAGCTTTGCGCTAGAATCGGCGACCTGCTGGGTGTATTGGGCGGCGGAGGTGACGGCTCGGGTTGCGGCGTGGCGGGCGGAGAATCGAAGGAGGTGGACTGCAGGAGCGGCTCGGTGGAGGTTGAAGGGATCACGGTTATTCATTCCCCTTGACTATGGAACCTAGACCATTTCACAACCAGAAAATATCCACGAAGGGAGATAGTTACCATCACCAATTCTTCGCCAATCGCGGTGGTACTCCTAACAATAGTAGCCAGATTTCCAAGCGCGGTGTTTAAGTTACATGGGCCAATCAGACTTGGCTACTGTGAGTTACTGTCCCTTGCGGGCTTGCTGCTGATTGGTAGGTAATAATACAGTTCCCACAGCTTACGTATAACTGATAACAGATGTCGCACGTGATGTGCTAAAATGGTTGGGAGTGAGGTGTTGTTGTTACAGCAGCGAAGTTGTTTTTATTGTGTGTTGTGTGTAAGTTGTGTGTTCTAGCTGGTTCCCCGGCCCTACAGATATACGAGAGTCACGGCAAGATCATTAATGCAGTTTGTAGCCTTGACTCCTAGAGCTCATGCCTTGGCCTGCGACAACAGAACTCGTTAGATTATATAGATAGAGAAACCACCTCCTCAGAAGCAATATGGCTATCAAAGACCATGGCTCCGCAGCATGTTTGCCCGCTTGTGCTCCGTATAATATAGTAGCTGATGTCTAGGCTTGCCGCGATGAATCGCTGCGTCACCCCACTAAACCCTTTCTCTTTGCACTGTTCTCAACATCTCTTAACATTTCCGGTCCAGATCATTATCCCTCTTCCTGCGAGTTCAATCAGCAACGAGACTCGCAAACATGAGATTTCAGACTCAAAGAACTGTTCCAAGTATTATATATTATTTTACGTAGCTGATTTCGGCTAGATGAGTGAAATTGCACTCGAGAGGCTTCGTCACAGCTACTTCTTGTCCGCGCCTACGACGCACTGCATCTCTTTCACCGTGTCATTGTCTCCCTCGGACGGTTGGTTCTTTAGTTCACTGAGGTTGTATGCTGTCTCTTCCCTCCAAGTCTTTGCAAAATTGCGGTGACCCTCGCGTGTTCTCGATGTCGCATCCTCTCGGTGAATCGGCGTCTCATACAAATGAGGTAGAAAGTTACTCTTGCACGACCAAGCTGCGAAGTAGTCGGGACATGATTTGGGTTTGCAGTACCAGGCCCACCGGCGCGTTAGCGGAAGTGTGGAATTATCGGTATCGGTATCTGTGTCGACCAGACACTCCCCAAAGTCCTGGTCTGAGATGCATGCCCCAACAAAGTTGCCCTCGTTTTCGCCATTGCCGTCTCCACTTGCGAGACGATTCTGAGTAACTGGGCGCTCCATGACTTTGTCCATGTCAGTTTTGAATGCCGTTCATTTACTACGCTAGGTGCCTATATGGTTGTCCTTATTTCTTATGGCCCCGAATGAATGTAAGGAGATTGAGCCTCGATGTGGAAGAGCAACGATTGCTGGCATGGAGAAAGGACAGAACCCGTGGGAATTCTATACGTCGATCTGGTGAAAACAGGACGAAGGATTTCTGGTAGCTCTGTATCAGTCTACTCTCTTCCATTGCCTGTGTTTCCAGATGGTGGTGGTCTTCGCACACGTGTATGGCCATAATTGGCCATCACAAAGTATGTCTGCCTTTCCTACACCACCAACAAAGGGCAGGTTCCCGTCCTCCAACCAAATCTAATATACAGTGAGCAGTAGTCCAAAACTCATTGGCAGATGGACTGAAATGGCACGTAGTATTGGGTAGTATTGGGTAGTGTTGTGTGAGTAGCTAAGATGTATGCTCATTCCATTATATGCTCTCCGCATGAGGACAAGAAGCCTTTCGCGACTATAAAGCCGTGGCTGTCCTTGTCTACGCTGCGGTATTTCAAATCCTCCCCATTCCGAACTTCCAAACACAGCCCTGTTTGCTCCAAAATCTGATAGCCATGTCTACATGCCAAGTGGAGGAGACCAGCGATGTTCCACTCTAGGGCGATGCATCGGACAACACCACCCAGGAGAGTATAAACCAGTCGGAATATCCCGGCGATCAAGAGACACAACTTGCCGGCTCCATCATAGTGCAGTACCTGCTGGAAAACGTCGCCGAGTTTCGGCAACTGACTGAGCTTCGGCAGCAGGTAAATAAACCCGGCGCGGAAACTCCAAGCTAAAATTAAGAGCATGACGGTTGACTGATGCCTAACATAGGGATGGAGCAACCCAGAAGGCGATCGATTCTTCCGAAAGCAACGCCACGATGCCGACAGCACTGACAAGAAGACAGCTAGAATGTTCTACAAAATGATGAAGACGATCGGCCAAGAAATGCATCAGTCAACCCGTGCTCTTGCGATTCCAAAGATGGTTGCGAATAGCCCAACCATCCTAGACATGTGTATGGCCCCCGGTGGTTTTCTTGATACGACGTTGAAAATGAACCCTGGAGCCCACGCTCTGGGATTCAGCCTGCCTGTTTCCAAGGGAGGGCACCGGACGCTGCTGCGAAGAGATCCCAATGTGACACTCAGATTCCTTGATGTTACGATGCTTGCTGAAGATATGGGTCTCACAGACGTCCCAGCCGAGCATCCCGACACGAAGAATCTGCTACTCCAACAGTTCGAACCCGGACAACGCTTCGATCTTGTCTTATGCGACGGTAAAGTCCTTCGTACCCACGTCCGGGCCGCATATCGAGAGCTGCGAGAAGCCCGCAGGTTAACCGTCACACAACTTGCTCTTGGCCTTGAGCACGTCAAGGTTGGCGGAACCATGGTCGTCCTTCTTCACAAAGTCGAGCACTGGAACACGGTCTCCTTACTGTACAAGTTCAGCAAGTTCTCTTCTCTCAAGCTCTTCAAGCCGGCACCGCAGCATGCGAAGCGCTCATCTTTCTACATGATCGCCACCAATGTCCAGAGCCAGCACGGTGAGGCGGTCCGAGCGGTGGAGAGGTGGAAGAGGGAGTGGAAGGTCGCAACGTTTGGAACGGACGAAGAATACGAGGCCCTTCGTGCGCCGGGCTTAGGGGCGGAGGAAGTCCTGGGTGGGTTTGGGTCCGAGCTTGTGAGGTTGGGAAGGGAGGTATGGGGAATTCAGGCACGGGCCCTGGAGAAGGCACCGTTTATCAAGAAACGACGGACTGCAGGAGTCCGAGTCGGGCCAGTTACTGCAGCGTGATCTTGGTATAAGGATGGCCGATGCAAAGGGGTAGACGACTGAAAGGTGGAACGTCTCTTGGCCACTTAAGCGCAATGGACTCAGGCGTAGCACAGGGGAGCTTTGATAATGGTTGCACCTCTTAAAGCTGCGGGGGTGCGCAACAGGTCCTTAACAATTTTGTCGCGATCTCTCATCTCTCGGTAGAAGAGGGTTATGGGGAGTTAAGAGGGTGCGGACAGTGGTATTTATGTCGCGATACACGATGCCTCAAAAGGGATACCCCTTGAGACATTTTCACCTGAAACTCCCTGCCATCATCGGGTTCGCATGTCCTGTAACCATGCAGGAGCAAGAATAGCACGATGCCTAGAAAGGCTCATTGTATTCAGAAATGGCTCATCAGACATACAATCATAACCCCGAACGGAACCTGCCCCGATCCCCCAAGCGCCGAACAATGTGTTGTGAATGTCCCGAATCTAGTCTCATCCGTCCGAGATATCCGCCGCGAAATCCCTCCGTATTGACAAATCCTCGAAGTTCTCCTCGTTGTTGATGATCAGCCCTTTCTCGTTGGCCAGGTGAAGGAGGCAGATGAAGCAATAGGAGGTCGAGATATCCGCCATCGCTTGTTTGGGATACACCGTCTGCAGGTTGTTGATGACGTCGGTGAACATCAAAGTATCCTCCTGGGCAGTCGCAAGGGGTTTTTGAGTAGGTCTTGATGGATTTTCGGTAGGAGCCTGGCAGGAGGTTAGCACAACCAGTATTTCGTAAAGACGATCCAGGCCGTAGAGGATCCAACTTACCAAAGCTTCCTCGAACCCAATTCCCCTCCACATCTCCTCTTTCAACCGCCGTACATCCACCTTTTTCGCTACTCGAGCATATTGAACGTACTCCGGCCGCAACCGCCGACTTTGAGTCACGAGCTGTGTACCAAACGCTCCCTCCTGGTGACCGTTGAGTGCCTCGCCCAGGGGCGCAATCCCATTCCCCACGCCCTCTGCAATGTCGGGAGAGAAATGGTCCCTCGCATCCGCGAACTCCAAGCCGTCGTCATCGTCATCCATCCCCACCGCGCCGAGGCCATCGTCCTGGAAGAAATCGGCATCATAGTCGCCTCGAGCTGCCATTTCCTCGGCACTCGCAGCTGCGGCCTCTTCGTTCTTCCGTGCCCAGAATTCCTCGTCGAGGTTGGCGTTCGATGAAGCCTGGTCTGCGGTTAGGCGGCCACCCGACGGCCGTAAGGAGCCCATCTCCGCCTTTGGTTTGAGAAAGAGTCGTAGCAGCTGTCGGGAGCTAAAATGCTTGTCATCAGGAAGGAGATTTCTGGACTTCGATTTCCATTGCGCTTTCGGTAGCGTGATCGAGGAAATGGATGCCGCTGTCGTATATAGCCCGTCCGCCATCGCTTGTGACATTGGAGCAGCGAAGTCGATTTCGAAAGGTTCCCGTTCCTTCCGCTTCGTCGGGCCGGCGTTCGCTGCCTTTGCAGCATCCTTAATTCGTCGGATCCTCCAGTGTTCCGGCCCGGCCCAGTTCTTCTGAAGGGCCTCGTCGAAGTAATTCAAGATGTTCGCCTGTTGGTCATCGACGCCGTGTTGTAGGATAACCCCGTACTGCGGCTTTCCGACCTCGAAGGTACCGACATTGCCGTTCGCCTCGTCGTCATCAGCTAAACCGTCATGCGGCCGCATCTGGACGTCGAGCGCGGCTTCTCTTGCCCAGGCCTCGCCGCCCTCTCCGAACCCCACGTCGCCCGGCAGGTCGAACCCAAGTGCGTCGTCGTCGTCGTCGTCAAAACCCATTGGGTTATCGCCATCAAGGAAGCCCCCTGAAGCGCCCGGAGTAGTGTCTCTCTTCTGTTGTTTCCAGTCATCCGCACCCTTCAAAATAGGTAGTGAAAGCGATCCATTCGGATCGCCAAGGCTGAAGTCTTTAAACGAGGGACAGATATCCTGCTCATCCAGAATTGCGAGGTTTGGAAAGAATTTCGCCCCCAAACCGGCAATATCAACCTCTACTGCCGGCTCTTCCACTGGCTCCTCGAGCTGCTCAGCGTCTGCGTCCTGCATCAAAGTATCTCCATCTTCCCCCGGCAAGTTCTCGGCCTCGGCATCCGACACCATTCCGGCTTCGTTTTGCGGCTCCGTTTCCCGAACATCATCGCTGCTGTCAAAGACAATCCTGCCTTCAGTATCGATACCGAGATGGTTTAACAAGAGTCCTTTCGCACCACCCTCATCAAAATCAGCTGAGGCCTTTTTAAACAGCGGGTCGACCGAGAACTCGAGCTCCATCTTCTTTAGCTGTAGTTGAGCAAAGGAGTTGACCAATGTAGCCTCTGATGACCGTTGCGTCTACATCCGAAGGTAAGCATATAATTCCCATTTCTCATGCGATTGACCTGACCTTCTTCCTTGATTTCTTTCTCTCTCCTTCCTCATCGGAACCATCGGAACCATCGGCGTCTTCTCCGTCCGTTCCCCGACCCTTGCTGTCTTTACTCCTGCTCTCCGCCAGGCCACTCAGCAGCTTCCCGGTTTCCGTCGCGACACTGTCCACGCGACTCGTGTAGATCTTCACGCATCCGTCCAGCGTGCAACTCGCCCTCTGGAAGTTCACACCGTCGCCCTCCCTCAGCAGCGACATGTCATGGAAATAATCGATCAACGCGAAGTTCCAGGAGTTCTGCGCGTTGATCTTGTTGTCCGTCGCCATCTTCATCCATTCTTCGAAATTGGCCAGGATCGGCACCCGCTTCATCGGAGTCACCGCGTTTCCGCCGACACTGGGTCCATCGTCGCCTGGAGTCCGCGGACTGGTCCCGAGGAACGACCGTCGCTTCCGCATGGGCGTCGCGGCCGCGCGTATTTGGTTCATTTGGACCTCATGGAGGGCTTGTCGAGATTGCATGCGGTTGGCCTTTTCCCTCCGGTCATCATTTAGAGGGACTCTGAAATCCATTAGTATTCGTTGGCATGGAATGCGAATTGCACGGTGCCCAGGGCGGTTGTTTGGGTACGTACTTCATGGGCGACTTGTGTGGTGTAGCCACGGAGACATACTTGTCGCGACCTTTTGGGGGGCCCAAATCTCGAGGCATGGTGAGTAGCTGTAAATACAACCAAAGAGCAGCACATGAATTGATTGCAATTTGGAGGTGCATTAATGGTTACCGTTAGCTTGTCGCACAGAGTCCTTAACTTGCGCGGCTTAAGAAACTCCAGAGTGTAAACAATCACAGAGGCCCGTGCACAACATTAACAGGGGTACCGGGTAATGGGGTATAAGGTATTTAATGTTAGCTGTTAGGTGGAAGAAGCGCGTCACGTGTCCATGAGATTATGTAGTGATTATGACGAAGTTGTAGGACGCGAAAGTTATGCACGATACTGCGGGGAGCAAGACTCGTTAGTGAGGACCAGAATCGTTCAATTCCTTGCCTCTCGGAGTTTAAAGCACTCGAATTCCATTCTAGGAATAATGCAAGTCTGGTCTGGTGTTCTGGTTGTGTTGCCTGAGGCATAAACCACTGCCCAGACCAATGGTCTAAGGCATCAATATTCACCTCTCACAATCTCACTGTCCGTACAGAGTACGACTAAGCTGATCGCTGAACAATCAACTCTTGGGACCATACACTTGGCAGCTAGGTACTTCAAGAAATTGTCGAGGTTTCCGAAACGTGAAATGGCGGAAAGATATTCGTTCCAGCCCGTCTCGGCGAAGGAGTGATAGTCTCCTGTACAACAACCTTGCTAAGTTGCTGACAGAGCCTGACATGTGTAGAAGCGGCCGTTCCCGAATTTCCCAATGGACTGGACGGATGGATTCCGTTGCAACGGCGGACTAAGAATACCAGCACACACAGAAAAAGCTCGGCTCGACGTCATCCACAGCCAAACACAGGACAAGCCCAGTCAGGGCCCTGCATGAATGACTGCATCTCTCAACAAACTCCGTTCTGCCATTCAGCCAGGCATCGAGATCAAGACTCCAGTCAGAATAAAAGACCATCGACATCGTCGTCAGCAATCCTCTCGCTTTTCTTCCTTCTTCATTGCCATCATGCGTCCCTATCTCTCCATTCTTATCAACCACGACCCTCATCTAACTATTCCCTTTACGAAGCTGAACTCTTTCAACACTCGCTCAGCAGGTGGCGTTGGTCTGTCACGCCACGCCGCAAGTCTATCGCCTTCTCGTTATCGCTGATGACTCCCTCATTCACGATAATAAATTAACGGCATTGATCCTCGAAAGATCCTCACCGTCCATTCCGTCTCATTCCACTGACCATGATGGGGTTCTTCCGTAAAGAGAAGCCATCCTCCGAACCCTCCACCACCACAGTTCCCTCAGAAGCCCCAACGAACCCCGAGGACCCAACTGACGACCCAACCGACGACCCAACCGGCGACGCTATCACGACAGCGACAGCGAATCCAGCAAACCCGCTCGACTACCCAGCAACGCAAGTCTTCTACGCCGATCCGTCCTTCCCCGAACCCCCCGAACTCAACTACGACCTCCGCTCCCGGAAGAAGGCCCTCATCTTCTTCTGGTCCCTCGTCATCGTCGACTGCGTCTTTGTCCCCATCGCCCTCTACTTCGGCCTCTTCTACGGTACCAGCCTCTCCCACAACGCTGTCTTCTCCATCAGCACCGCCACCCTCGGGACCGTGTCCATCGTCGAATACTTCCTCCGATTCCACCGCCTTTTCCGGAAAGGCAGCAAGTGTCGCGTCATCGGCTCGCATCGCTGGTACCTCGACTGGTTCCACTGGAATCTGAGCCTCGGATGGATCGCCGTCATGATTGAGTTGATCGTCGGAACCGTGCCGCATGAGCCGCCGATTCGCCTGCTCGCCATGCCCGTGTCGTCGATGCTGTACGCGCTCGCCGTTGAGATGCTGATTGTCGATGTGTTGCGATACTTTAAGGTGCGGGCGCCGGTACGGGTCAGTTCGCTTCCGCGAGGTGCGGAGCTGCGACCTGGGTTATATGCCTTTATCGAAGATGTCGTGGCGGTGGATGGAAGCGGCGGAGCGGAGTACCGGCAGAGGCTAAACGTGCGGTATCTCTCGAGCCACTATTTCCGAGTCATGTTGCACCGATTGACCCTATTCTGGGCTTTCGGAGCGATCGGGGTTGCAACACTGACGACGATTTTGATCTTCACGCTTCAGAAAGATGCAGCATATGTGGTAAGTCCGGAGTGCGATCGACTGCATGTGGTTACATCAGGCTAATGGATTGTCAGGTTGGATGGACCGTCCCATTTATTTGGGCCGGTATCTGGTCATGGATCACTGTACCGTATGTAAAGCGGAGTCTGAAGCGCGAGCGCGAGATTTGGAAAGCAGAGCGAAGACCGAAGGCCTGATGCAACGTTGATGCGCCCAGCCCTTTCATTACGCATACTTAATGCCGCTACCGAGCATTAGAGCGTTGCCAAAAGATATGACCTGGGTTTGACGAATTAATATACGACACATAAACGGAGCATAGGAGCATCTGGGGGGCCATTTTGTATAGATCTATGTATCAGCAGCGCAAATCTCAAGCGGTCGATTTGTTTCCCACAGCGCAGTGGTTTCCTAACTTGATATCCTAACTTCTATTGCGGTAACCAGGTCAGTTCGTAACTGAGGTGTTGTTTGCTGTGGGTATCATCAGGCCATCAGCACAGTAGGCGAGGTACTGAACTGCAAGCCTGTCCATATATTGTTCGAACATGTTAACGTACATGTTAATGTGTCCCGACTATCACCGTGATTACCTTTCTTATAGGCTTCTCACCTTGATTTCTCTCTTTGGTTTCCCATCCTATACATCCTATTAATGTCCTCATGACATCGCAAGCCAGCCTATCAGGGTCTGTTCCATTTATGTAGACCACCCCACAACAGCAGGCGCCACGCCCACGAACCAACCCCCCTGTCTCCAGCCCTCACTCCACGCCTTACCACTTATCCGTAGTTATCAGTAACTATCCGTAACTATCAGTAACTTTTCTCGGCTCCTACATGAAAGTCCCAGACCACGAACCGTAGTCTTCGGTCTCGACACCACGCCACCGACGCCAGGTTATCGGTGCTCCCGGCCTGATATGATAAAGCGAATACGTGATGGGCGTCCCGTAGCGGCCTTAGCACCGCTGGATGCGGGGATTCAAGCAAATTGGCGGGTTTGACCAAGGGCCTAGTCCCGGATAGGGCGCATCACACGGGTGCTTGGCTGAGTAGGACACAACGACAAGGCGAGAACCGAACGGGACTTTTATTAGCCCGTGAAGCTTGAGATGCTTGCAGGCCGATGCTGATAAGGTCGGTCTCCCCAATTTTCAGCGCGCACTTCGCTTTCTCGGAGATCGTCTGGGCGCATAGTCTGTCGCATCTACAAACTGCTAGTTTAAATCTCGTCGAATCTACTAATCGGCGCTTCTGTGAGAGGATCAATTGGGTTCGGCTGCTGCATATTCACCGTGTCAGTGGACTTGGACGACGTCATGTCTTCCATGGCGCGGCGACTCTCCGTCACCGACGCGACTGACGCAGCGGACGAGAACCGTCTCGCTGACTGGGGCTACAAACAAGAGCTGAAAAGAGACTGGAGTGTGTTGCAAAACTTCGGAGTCTCCTTTAGTATTATTGTGAGTTGAACTCGGAGATCGTCGTGGTAAAGTTCCATCGAGGCTCAAGAGCTAACCATCGGTGTCACAGAGTGTTGTAACAGGTCTTACAACCCTATTCAGGTAAGAACTCCTGATGGATCAACTGGGGACCATATCTGACAGGTTGACAGCTATGGCTTGACAACTGGCGGTCCTGCCGTAATGGCATCGGGCTGGATTTGCGGTACGTATGTCGAAATCACCTAATATCGCTTCGATCCATCCGCTATTACCAATATAGTCTCCTTTTTCACCCTCTTCGTCGGCCTCTCCATGGCTGAAATCGTGTCCGCGATTCCCACCTCCGGGGGCCCTTATTTCTGGGCCGCGAAACTCGCTCCCGACCACCTCGCCCCTTTCTTCTCGTGGGTGACGGGCTGGTTTAACTTCGTCGGCCAGTTCGCCGTGACGACCGGGATATCCTTCGGACTGGCCGGGTTGATCAGCACGGCCGCGACGGTGAAGACTAGTTACGAGCCGACGCCCGCGAAGGTGATCGGGATCTACGCGGCGATTCTAGTCAGCCATGGGCTGGTGAATAGCTTCGGGGTGCACGCCTTGCGGTATCTGAACAATGCGAGTATCGTTTTGCATAGCTTGGGCGTTGGGGCGCTGGCGATCGCCATCCTGAGCAAGGCGCCCACGCATCGAAGTGCGAGCGAGGTTTTCGGGCACTTCTACGATGTGAGCAACCGATACTGGAGTCCTATATGTGTTCGGTGACTTACTGTATCACAGGGAACCGGTGATCCGGGCTGGTCTGAACGCGCTTCGCCCGCGTATGTTGCGATCACTGGAGTTTTGATGAGCCAGTTTACGATTACAGGTGAGTGGTTGAGGGATATGTGAATCGACCCAGCCTCTGCAGGCTATGCAGCGGTTTACGATGGTTGAATCCTTAAAGCAAATTCAACCTTTCTAGGTCTCCGGAATCTAATAACGATTACAGGGTTCGACGCCTCCGCGCACTTGAGCGAAGAGACTCACGATGCCTCTTGGGCGGCCCCAATCGGCGTCATCATGTCCATCGCCTGCTCCTCCATCTTCGGCTTCTTCTACATGCTCAGCCTCCTCTTTTCCATCCAGGACTTCGATCGCACCATCAATTCGGACTACGAGCAGCCCGTGCTCCAGATTTTAGTGGACGTATTCGGGGAAAACGGCGCCCTGGTGCTCATGACGCTGATCATGGTGTGCGTCTGGCATTGCGGCCTCTTCTCCATCACCTCTAACTCCCGCATGATGTTCGCCTTCAGCCGGGACGGTGCGTTGCCGCATTTCTTCGACCACGTCCACCCGACGCTGAAGAGCCCGATCCGGACGATTTGGCTGGCGGCAACCCTGTCCTTCATCCTCGCGTTGCCGAGTCTGGGATCCAGCGTCGCGTACGCAGCCGCTACGAGCATCGCTACCATCGGATTGTATATCAGCTACGCGATCCCGGTCTTGATCGCAATTATCTGGCCCAAAAAGTTCAAATCGATGAAGGGTCCGTTCGACTTGAAAGTCTTCTCGTGGCCAGTAGGATTCATTGCGTGTCTTTGGGTAAGTGATTAACTCAGCCGTTGGTCCGAATGACTACGATGCCACTAACGAGAGAAAAACGCAGGTCGCATTCATCACCATCGTGTTCTGTCTCCCAACTCTCAACCCGGTTGATAGTCAGTCATTGAACTACACTCCGGTTGCTGTGGGAATTGTCATTCTATTCACGTTTGCTACCTGGTTTTTATGGGCCCATCGCTGGTTTACAGGGCCGATTAACCAGATCGAGCTTGAGCAGGCGGGCGTAAGCCTTGAAGCACAAGCGTTGGAGGAGCATGCGGCCGATGTGACGAAGAAGGCAGAATAGGGGGAGATTGAGGCCTTTCGGGATCTAATTCCACAGTGCATGTGTATGGGGTACATTTCCCAATTGCGCTACCTACTATTGTGCAGGAAACTCCGAAATGAGGATTGGGGCGGTTTGAAGTTTGATCATATATATAGTTGAGGATATTAATCTAAAGAAGCTGACTGCTACAAACCTGCAGTGTGAAGGTGACTGTATGTATTAGTAAGATATTCACAGTACTGTAAACATGCCCAGAAGTGCCGACATGATTTTAGCACACATTTGATAACCCGTAAAATTACCAATAACTAAAGGAAACGGGAAATACTGCAGAATCTGGAGAAGACCAAAAGTTATGATGCATACTGTAGTCTACTGCAGTGTTAACATCATGAGTTGAACTGTGGCGGCAGATATTGGAGTCCGTATCACGATTGGTCCTGGCAGTGACGGGCTCAAGGGACCACACTCAAGTATATATCATTCTCGCTGAGCTTCAATGGTCACGACTGAGTTCGATAATCCGGGTAAGATACAATGTAGAAGCCATTTTTGGTGAATGGTGACGGAATCTGAGCCAGCAAAGGTTGGCCGTCGATTTGGTGGATTAAAGGGGACTGGGGAGTTAAAGGCAAGAATAGACCTGTCTGGGCGATAAACCGGAAGGTAAGTAGATTACCTATCCATCTGTACATGTCATGCTGCGGACCTAAGAGAGAATGGTAATACCCAATGCCTTGCAAGTTGCAAGAGTTAAACTACGACTGCACAAGGAATAATTGGCTCTTTCAAAGGTTTTAAATCGGTGATGGCAATTGCGGTTTGAAGTCCGATGCGAGGCACGTGATATGCTGCGCCGCATCGCTAGCGGCGCGTCTGGGCCAAGCAGTTGGTGGCTAGTGCACATTGCGTAGGCCACGTTCCTGCCCTGCTTGGCCATTTGACGTTAATTGGTCAATTTGCCACCCACCCTGCTCATTCGGACATTTTTCTAGGAAGTGAATCAGGAAGTGACGTCGCGTGCGATTTCCAGTTCCACATCTGGCTCACCGTCCATCATTCCAACCAACCAATTTCATATCTCGTCGTTCACCCACCTTGTTATCATCCTGATTCAGCCAATGTTTTCGCTGTCGCCTTTCTTCTCTCTCCGTACCTTCATCCTTTCCGATCTCACCTCCACCCTTCATCTTTCCCTCCTCTCGCTACCTGAGCTCGCTGCTAGTATAGAATGATGATGGTTTACTGATTCATTTCCTTGACATCGCTGAGAACGGGCAATTGCCAATCAATATACCGCCAACATGCCGACTTTTGTTTGCGCACTGTAAGCCTGTCCCCTCCCAACTTAATTCATTTCCTACGTCATGGTGCGCAATAGTGCGGCAATTGACACAGGACTCGACGGCCAAAAACTAATACATCTCGTTTAGGTTCCTCCCTAACACGGTCGATTTTCACAACCTCCCTTCCAGCGACCCCAGTAGCCCAGTTACCCTTGGGACTCGCACGGGATCGGTTAGTGATGTCCCGCAGGTCAAAACTAGCCTCTTCCCAGAAGCCGACCCTCCCAAAACCCCGTCCTCAAACGATGTCGATTACTTCTTCTCAAAGCGTCAACCCAGCGCCAGGTCGTACTTTCCAAAATCCAACAACCCCGGCGGCCTAGTTCGCAGCGACTCCCATGTCCCGGAATGGGGATCGGCTCTGCCTTTCCGTCAACCAAAATCACGGGCTGCGGAACTACCGCCCGATACCATTCTCCGGTACACTCAGCAGCAGCAGGCGATCGATCGGGCCAAGACTGCGAGGTCCCGGCGCGCCAGTCAAGCTCTAGTTCCATCGCGCTCCGGGAGCAGTGACCCAAATTGGGGTCAGGAGTGGACGGTGGCACCTGCTGTCCAGAACAATGGCGATCTAGCGAACGCAGTTCGAGCCACAATTGATACCGGGGCCTTGGACAATGTTATATGGCTGGGTACTGTCGGTTTCCCCACAGACTCGCTCCGGCAACAGACCAAAGACGAGATCAATGAGCGCATGGAGTCGGAATTCGATTCACTTACCGTCTTTGTCAAGGACAGTGATATCGACGGACACTACAATCATTACTGCAAGACCATACTTTGGCCTGTGCTCCATTACCAAATCCCCGACCATCCGAAGAGCAAGGCTTATGAGGACCATTCGTGGAAATATTACGTCAACATCAACCAAGCCTTTGCCGACAAGATCATCGCATGCTATAAGCGAGGAGACACCATCTGGATCCACGACTACCACCTTCTCCTGGTTCCGGGCATGGTTCGAAACAAGATCCCTGACGCACAGATTGGATTCTTTCTGCACACCGCCTTCCCTTCATCGGAAGTCTTCCGGTGCCTGTCGGTTCGGAATCAGCTCCTCAATGGCATGCTCGGAGCCAATTTGATTTCGTTCCAGAGCTCAGAGTATGCGGACCACTTCCTGACCACCTGTAGCCGACTGCTCCTAGTTGAAGCAACCACTGAAGGTGTTCAACTGGAGCATCGATTTGTCAACGTGTCGTCGATTGCTATTGGTATTGACCCGAAGGGCATCGAACAGGAGCGTGTCCAAGAGGAGGTGGGGGATTGGATTAAGATGATGCAGGAGCGTTACAAAGATAAACATCTCATCGTTGCTCGAGACAAGCTAGATAATGTCCGAGGCGTGAGGCAGAAATTGCTTGCTTATGAGCTGTTCTTGAACAAGTACCCTGAATGGCGCGAGAAGGCATGCTCATCTCTTCGGTTTTAAAACCCTCATTTTCTGACGATGTTCATAGGTTGTGCTCATCCAGGTCGCCGTTTCTGCTTCGGACAACCCTGCATTCAATGCTACGGTATCCGACATTGTCACTCGCATTGAGTCCCAGCATGCGAATCTGGCCCGCCAACCACTCATTTTCCTCCGCCAGGATATCTCATACCCTCAATATCTTGGCCTTCTCTGCATCGCGGATGTTCTTATGATCACATCTCTTCGTGAGGGGATGAACTTGGCCGCACATGAGTTCATTTACTGTCAGGATGGTCGGGATGGGGGCAAGCAACACGGCCCGGTCATTCTGTCAGAATTCACTGGATGTCATTCACTCTTCGACGGAAGCGTGCTCTCTGTCAACCCCTGGAATTATCGGCAGTGCGCTGATGCAATTAAGGAGGCTCTCGAGATGGACGCCGCCGAGAAGGAAAGGCGCTACACAAAGATGCGAGAAATTGTCCTCAAGTGCACAGGTAGCTCGTGGTGCACGGAACTAAGCACGCAGTTAAGCAAGTGCTACAATAACCAATACACTCAAGACGCCATGTCTATCCCTCGCCTTTCGGCAACTCAGCTTGGCGATAGGTACCGAAGGACGAAGCGCCGTTTGTTTATCCTCGATTATGAAGGCACTCTCGCCAACATTACCTCGATGAACAGCAACGTGCACTTGTCATCTCCTCAGCGGGTCATTGACACCTTGAACGACCTCCTACTTGACACCCGCAACATTGTCTACATCATGTCTGGCCAGCGGCCGGAGAATCTTGAGCGGCTCTTCTCTCGCGTCCCTGGTCTCGGAATCATCGCCGAGAATGGGTGCTTTTCCCGGGAAGCGGGGCAGGACGCTTGGACTCGATTCGCCGACTTTGAAAAGATGGAAGAATGGAAAGCCGAAGTCAAGAACGTGTTACAGTATTACCTGGATCGCATCCCTGGAGGCACCATTGAGGAGAATCACTGTAGCCTGCGCCTCAAGTACGGTCGAGCGGAAGACATTCAAGCCGCAGCAGCATTCGCAGGAGACTGTGCCAACAATGTCAACGACGCATGCAGTGGGATGCGGATTCGTGCAATCCACATCCATCAAGGGGTGCTGATTGAGCCGTATGATTGGAGCAAAGGCAGTGCAGCAACGCATATCTTCGACGAACTACGTGCTGGCAATGGGCCCCATTTCAACCCAGTCAGGGGCGAAGGGCCTGACGATACGGACGCGAACAATAATAAAGGCAAAGAGGCCCTGATGCCGGATTTCCTGATGGTAGCAGGGAACGATCGTGAAGATGAGGGCATCTTCCGATGGGCGAACAACCTGCAGAAGGACGGTGTCGTGCCCTACGTGACGACCGTGAGTGTCGGGAAACGCAACACTGATGCGATGTCCACTTTGACGCAGGGAACGACTGGTGAGTTTCATCCTCGATTATAAATTTGAAACAGGAACTGACGCTAAGATCACAGGTCTTCTCTCCGTTCTCACGAATCTGTCGAAGTTGAATGGGGCGTAAATTGCACGCCATGCACTGTGTACAGCAACATAACGCGCTGGCAGCGCTGTCTATTTCTCGACTGGTTCACATCATGCAAGGCTCATTGCGGGATTCCCACCACGCAGAGCGTTGGTTTGGGCACATTCGGAGCAAGCCATGGTGGTTATATATACCCATTTCCACGCACAAGCGGAGTCGATAGAAATACAATTCATTCCAAAGTTTATGGTCCAACATGGTGATCGTGAGTTCTGGTGATGTTGCAGTCCCGTAATACATGGCCGACGGTCCAGATTCTGGTATCTGTCCGGTTGCAAGCGGGTGGTTCCATATAGGTAGACGCAATGAAACCTCGACCATTCCTGGCCACTGTCACTTCTGATCGTAATATAACTTCTTTTAGAATTGGCAGAGAGCTACCAAGTCTTCTATTGCTGACCCTCAGGCCGTGATATGTGACATGGATGCTTTTAATGGAAAACTTTGTCCTTGTCTCTCCTTAGCCTTCGGCTGCTCAGTTCGACCATGCGATTGCACCGTCCGCTACCCCATAGCGCTCACAAGACAAACGCCATTATCATGTGTCAACCAGCTGTCAAGACAGTCATGCGCATAAACCTATGTCTATTCGTGCAGTCGTCACGGAGTCATCGTTCCTGCAGATGGAGATGGCTTTGTTGATGTTCAGTTAGTTATCGGTTCGAGGGTTGAGCCCGCCACGATGTTCGCCCTGTGAATATGATTAGCATATTGAACTCTAGTAATTGAAGCGAAACAGTCCCGTTAGAACGTTCCGTAGAGCAACTCACCATCCGATCAACCGCCAATGCTTGTCGATCCGCCGACTCAACGCAATCTTCTCCCCAATCTCCGTGCACGCAGGGCTCGTCAGCACCAACCGCGCCGCGTCCGCCTTGACGGCCTGCACCTTGGCCCCCGTGGCCGTGCTGCCGATGTTGACCATCAACACCTCGTTCTTGGTCAGCTTCGCGACCTTCTCCTGCTTGCCGTCGGCGGTGCGCACGCCCAGCAGCCGGCGCAGCAGGAAGAAATTGACCTCCAGCTCCGTGTAGATGGCGGGCAGATGGCCCTTGAGCCCCAGGACGAACCCGACGAGGCGATCCGCGCGGCAGAGGGTCGGGTCGACGCGTGTGCCGACGCCGATGAGGCCACCAGGCACGGCGAACTTGAGGTCGTTGTGCTCGGCGAACAGGGTGACGACGCGGCTGTAGATGGGCTTGCACTGGATGCGGCCCTGGTCGTCCTTGCTGACGATACCGGGGCGGATTTCGATTTCGTCGCCGAGCTTCAGCACGCCGGTGAGGATGGAGCCACCGGCGACGCCGCCCTTGAGGTCCTCGATCTCGGCGCCGGGCTTGTTGACGTCGAAGGATCGGATAATAATCATGTGCGGGGAGGCGGTGAAGTTGCGGGGGGGGATGGGAATCGTGTTGCAGAGGGCTTCGTTGACGGCGTCGATGTTGAACTTGAGCTGGGCGGAGATGGGGATGATGGGGGAGCCATCAGCGACGGTGCCGCGGATGAATTTGAGGATCGATTGGTAGTGCGTGAGCGCGTTCTCTTCTTTCATCAGATCGACCTTGTTTTGGAGGATGATGATATGGTTCAACTTCATGATTTCGATGGCCGCCAAATGCTCGGAGGTTTGCGGTTGGGGACAGGTTTCGTTCCCGGCAACCAGAAGGAGGGCGGCGTCCATGACGGCGGCGCCGGACAACATGGTGCTCATGAGAATGTCGTGACCGGGGCAATCGACGAAGGAGACATGTCTGTGAAGGCGATACGTGCCGGCACAACCTTCCCGCTCGCATGGCGGATCGACCTCTTTATCGGACTTGAACGACCTGTAGCAAGTCGGGCGAGGGCATGCTGGGTTATCGCATTTGTAGATCTTTGCGTTGGCATAACCCAGCTTGATCGTAATGTTCCGTACCAGCTCGTTCTTAAAGCGGACGGTCTGGACTCCTGATATGGCCTTCACCACGGTCGACTTCCCGTGAGCGACATGGCCGATGGTGCCGATATTGATGGTGGCCTGGTGGGAAATGATCTCCGGGGACAGCGGGTGCAGCTGGCTGATATCGATGTCCTTGGCGTCCGGCTGCGGTTCTAGGAACGGCTTCGGTTCGGGGGCTATCTGCACTGCCTTTTTTGACTTCAAGGCGGATTTGAGAGGGGCCTTGTCTTCGACTTCGGAATCGGACGATGCTGCGTCCAGGTGCATCTCATTTTCTCCATCGGACTCCATGTTTGCGAGAGGATCCGTGTGGTCGGGAGTCGCGCAGTATGGTATGGAGTGTTATATTCAATCGCGGTGGTCAAGGATGGATGGTGGGCAAATTGTGATGGAATGATGAAATTGTCAAGGTTGCTTGTGGATTTTCAGATTGGAGGTTGTGAGTCAAGCCACGTCCCTGAGTCCCCCACCTTCGCCACAGTCGAGCATGATCATCCAACATGCCAATATCACCAGCGATTGACGAGTTCGAGGCGTGCACAGAGACAGTGCAAAAGTGCGGTACGATGAATTATGGTGTATATTTCTTCTTTATTATGCTTTGCTAAGGTCACCAATTTATAGTGCTGTTTGCCGCTCTTCGCTTCTTCCAGGGCCAAGAGACTAAGTGAGTCGGCTCGCCTAGCAAATGAACACACATCAACATCGGTTCTTCCAGCTCTAAATCATGCTGGACTCAAAGTAAAGGACAGTATGTCCGTCGTAAAATAGTCCTGTCATTCCAAAAGAGTACAATGACAGGGTGGAGTAGACGCAGGCCTGCTAAAACCCTATTTCCATCTCCCACAGTTGGAAGTTCGCTATTTCGCCATTGAGTAGACGAGGAGCAGGCAAGTAGTGGGGTGACATGTTGTTTTGTCGTAGAAGGCAGGTATCCTGTTCTTCTCTACAGTGACACTTTTCACGAACGGTGGATGTGACATTGTTCGAGATTCGAAGCCTTGAGATCAATCAAGCCAGAGACGCAAGTTTCAGATCAAGGCTTGCATCCAGAATCAGACCATGGATCCAGAGAGTGCTGTGGATTGTCTGAAGCTGGATGGGCTCATGTTGAACCCACCTCCCTCGAATTGTGTGTTGCAGTTGTGATGAAGTGAAGACTCAAAATCTGAAATTTCAAATTGAAAGAGGGTTTTGTTGTTGATCACACGTGATGACCTGGTTGGTGGATTGTCATCACGTGCTGGGGGGCTGGGATCACGTGTTTGTGGCTTTCGATAAAGCGAAGAATTCACTGCCAACATCCTCTTCGAACTTCAACACTTTCGAACGCAATAATCAACCGTCAATCTCCCTCTCAGAGCTTCTTGAGGTCGATCGGTCAATTGACGTTCTAGACTAAGCATCCTAAGGCACTTTTAGGCTTATTCTGTCTGCTTTGTTGCGACCGATGACGTTTGGAGCCACCTGCGTGCCGCACATATTGAATTGTAAACGCTTTTTTGGTTCTTCATCACCAACTCTGGAGGATGGTGACGTAGGTGTAAACAGCAATTACGTCTCCAGGAACTATCAGTGGTACCGATAGATAAGTCCACGAAGGTCCGACAGGAAGTTAAATTGTCGAAAAGGGGCTCCTCATAGAATTTCTGAAGCGACACTTGCAACTTCCAAGCCCTGGAAGATTTGGTAATTGGAAGCTATCGTGGTGGCTTTTGGACTAGGCAAAGCCGAGTCAATTGCCCGTTATCTGTATTGAGCCGCTGTACTATCCCACTGCATTGTGTAAACGAGGAAAACATGGAATAATTTAGCCATGCGATCTGGTCTGGACGGGTAGTAAACATCTGATTCCAAAAGATATGGATATGAACACATAATATCATTCTCTGCTCCAAACCTATCTCGTATTACGGATTAGTATCCCACCCATATTACCCATTCCGTACCGATATTGGATAATCCGTACTTCCGCAGCCGGAGGGATCCATGTCTTTGGGGCCGGATGCCACCTTGTAGTGAACTGCGGAGATCGGTGTTTGTAGCGCAGGTATCGAGCTTCCAACTTGCACTTCGCAGTCTCACACCTTAACTTAATTCCCATTATCACCCAACTTTTCATTTTGTTTTTCCCCATCTCACTTGCGAATCCTTCGCATCCCCTCTCACCTAAACTATTCATCCACGATGAGTCGATCCGCCCAGTGATTTTCATTGTTGCGAACCACCACACGCCCGCTGTCCTTCCCTGCTCATCTCTTCCTCCGTGTGGGGTGTCGGACTACCGTCGCAAACATGGCTTTGCCTCTTACGAAACGGCAGGCGGCTCGCAATGAGAAAGCTCTGCAGGAATTGATCAAGTCCGTTCCTGGGAACGATCGATGCGCGGACTGCGGCGCGAAGAATCCAGGTGAGAACCCCCTATCAACGTGCCCACATCAGAACTAACATAACCCAGGATGGGCAAGTTGGAGTGTAAGTCTCCTTTATTTACAGGATTTCCGAAACGATTCTTTCCAGCCGATTGGCGTCCGCATACACTGTGAGCTTACAATTGGTGGTAGTTGGGCATATTCTTATGTATGCGCTGCGCGGCTCTACATCGCAAGCTAGGAACGCACATTTCCAAGGTCAAATCCTTGAGTATGGACAGTTGGAGTAACGAGCAAGTGGATGTAAGTCACGCATAGTTGTTTTCGTTGGCGTTGCTAACAATGATCAAGAGCATGAAGCGCAGTGGAAACGTCGCGTCGAACAATCGATTCAACCCCAAGGGCGCTCGGCCCGCGATACCCCTCGATATTGATGAAGTTGACGGTGTCATGGAGCGATACATCCGACAGAAGTACGAACAAAAATCTCTGTCCAACGAAGCCAAGACGGCACCCAAGACGGCACCCGCACCCGCACCGCGTCACAACACGGGAAGCACAAACTCGGATGAGAACCCTCCTCCGCTCCCCCCCAAACCTTCCAAACGGTTTCACTTCAGCTTACGATCGGCATCTTCGACATTTCCACTGTCACGCGGCGAAAAGAAGCACAATGCGCGACAGGCAGAGCGTGATCGGGAGCCGTCTCCACCTCCGATCAACAAAGCATCAAAAGTGTTCGGTCTGAATGTTGCGAGTGGCGGCAGTTATGATTCCAAACTCCAGGCGCTCCGGGATATGGGTTTTGCCGACGAGGTTAGGAACTCGGCCATGTTGAAGACGAAAAATGGCAATCTCGAGAAAACGGTGGATGCTCTAATAAAGATGGGCGACCTTGGCTCTCCGTCCGAACCTCAAGCACCAGCGCCCCCTCCGAAGGAAGCCAAGAATGGGATCACCATCGACCGACAAAAGCCACTTGAGACGGCCTCGAATAACCCATTCGACATGCCGAACGGAGCACCGGTTCAGCCGTCTGCTGCTCCCTATCAACAATATGCGCAGCAGCCAGCTCCGCAGCAATATCCTCTGCAAACCGGATCGAGTGTCGGCCACCAGCCGCTATCCAGCACGAATCCTTTCTTACAACAGGCTCAGCCGGCGCAACCTCAGCAACCGGCTCTCGAGTCCGCGTTCGACAAATTGAACATCGCTGCCCAATCACAACAGCAAGTTCTCTTTCCACACCATACCGGCGGTTATTCCCAACCTCCGCCTCAGACCAACCCCTACTTGCAAACATACACCCCTCCACCGGTCCCTCAGATCCCTCCTCAATACAGCACGTTCACTCAACCGACCCCGTTCTCATCCCATCCCTACCAAAACCAGTCGCCGACATATGACGCCAACCCTTTCCTACGGTCTGGTTCAGCTCAAGCAGGCGCCAACATGAATCCGTTCGGCCAACCTACCTACGGCCCACCGACAACCCAACCTGTCCAACAACAGTCGACGTTCCAACCTCAGCAGGCCACCCAAGGCTTCCCTCCTTACTCACAACCCCAAGGCCCCCCTCAATTTCCATCCTTCACCCAGACTCCAGTACCCGTCTCGCTATCCGACTATATGCAAGCAATTCCCGCGTCCTACCAACAGCAACAATATCAGTCGCAACAGCAGCCGCAACAACCGCCGCCATCAGAGAATCTGTTCCTGCAACATACTCAATCCTTCCCTCCAGTCCGACGCGACAAATCCTCCATCCTTGCTCTCTACGACCACCCTCAGCTCGCCCCCGCACGACCCGACCAGCAGCTCCAACCCGATCAAACCCCGCCCGCCACCCAACCCCACACTGCCCCCGCGCTAGCTGGTCCAAAGCGAAGCGCCACAATGCCGGTCCAAAGCAGCGCCACTGCGTCGAAAAACCCATTTGCCAGTAGCACCGCGCCGTACGCTGGTGCCGGCGGCACTCCATCGATGATTTCCTCACCCGCCATGGCGGGCAATGGCGCTGCCCCGCAAACGCAGGCGGGAGCTAGCGCGGGAATCCGTTCCGCGGGGGGATACCGACACATGAGCAACGAGAGCGTCGATTTCGCTGGGGCGTGGGGCGTGGGCGGCGACGGACGAAGTAGCCCCGATGCATTCGCGGGGTTGAGTGCGCGATTGCGATAAGCATCATTGCGGAGGACGGGATCGAGGATAGTTCTTGATGCATGTTTGGGGACGTTTGAGGGCCATGGATGTATGATTATGGAGGGGCCTTGGGCGAGAAGGGTGGGTCATTGAGACATTAGCGAGGTTTCCTCCAGCTGAGAAGTGGGGTGATTGTATAGCAATCGTTGCGAAGCCGTAATTAGTTCATACACTATAATACCAACTGCTGATTCCGTGTGGAGTCGGATACCTAGTTTGGAGCCCGCGGCCCTTTTGGGGGTTTGTCGACCCCAGTCTGGGCGGTATCATACTCGTGCTTGGCAGATGCTGTTCTCTGACTGATTAACATGCGGTCTTTTCTTCCAGCATATTCTTTAACTAGAGCGCTTGTCACCCAAGTCATACCTCCAAATCCTGCTTCCCTCGACGATAGGAGGATTTGCAGTTAGAAATTGGTGCATTCGTAAACTTTTCCCATGCTTAAGACGCGGCCCAACGTTGAGAGTTCACACCGCACAGAAACTTCGACGAACAGCCACTGCGTAAACCGGTGCCCAAACAGGGAAATTGTGCAGTTACGAAGCCACAGGTCCATTCGGAGACGGCTAACGTCAGCCACCATCTCCAAGAATTGCGAAACCCTCTAGTGAGTGGTGACGAATGTGTTGGGAGGCCCCTGATGCGGAATCAGTGCAATTAGTACTCGGTCCACAAATGAGCACTGGCTTAGCCTAAACAGCGTGAGGTTTGTCAAGCTGAAATTTAGTCATTATTACCAGAATGGCTCTTTCCAGTCTGTGACTTGAATGAGTCTTAATACAGCCGCTCTAGTTATATAAACAGTGGCTCTGATACTCATACATTTCGGACGCTTAATATACGATTTACATAGCATGTCTTCCTAGGCTGGTAATCAACTGCTCCTCAGAGTCATTGCTTCTCGGAACCCTGACATCTCCTGGAACAAAAAATTGCTGGATCATGATGAACCACCTGGTGAGAATATAAACCCTCCAGTTCTGAATCGGACCCTATCCCCATGCCATAAACAGGTTGCTTCTAGTTGGCGAAACGCGAAAAATCGATGGGCACAGAAGCGGTGCAAATGGTCATCAAATATAATTAGGGCCTGATCAAAGACTGTAGCCTCTCCCGGAACTACCAAGTTGGTTCTTTAGATCGCCTGTAATGATAGCTGATTCCTATGATTTATGGGCCGAAGAAGTAGAGCAAGAACCCGTCGTCTACAGAGGAGGTATATCGACATCCAGAATCCCAATTCTCTAAGACAACTCTAGACCGAGATAGAACTGCGCTCATACCAACTATGCCCGAATGGCTTCCATCATTATCCGTTAACGAGAAAGGTAGACCGGAATTCCGTACACAACCATCGCCGCTCCATTCAGATATTTCAAATAACAAGCTTCCCTCCCTTTAGCAACCGCCTCGACCAGGCTTCTTGGTTGGTCTTTAGCGTCGCCTGCGTTGCCTCCGGAGACCGTATCCTCGCTTCCTTGGATTTCGTTGACCCTCTTCTTGACAGTGCCAACAGTACGCATGGCCTTCTCCAGTCTTTCCTTTCCGCCCCTCTTCCCTCGTCTTCCTCTTTCCCCTTCCCAATCCTCTGGTTCTTCCCATAGTCCCCACTCACTGCCCATCCGAACACTGAAACGATCCGTGTCGCGATCTGTGACGTCCCACAGAGCACCGACGATAGCTGGGGCACCTGCGCCAAGATAACTCAAAATCATTCCATGAGGCTCGAGTTGTCCGTTGTCGGTCACTCCACCACTGCTACAACCCATCAGCCAAGTAGTTGGGCAGGATGGAAGCGAACGGACGGCGCGGCCTCGAGCGTATTGGGAGGTGGATCCGTGCCCGAAATAAAGCAAAAGAGAGGTGTCCTGGAGGATGCGGGTCAACGCCGTATCGGAAGATGTATGCGAAGGGCTTGGCTCGGGGAGCGTCGCATGATGTGTCCAGCCTAAAGGAAGCGTCGAAAGGAAAGGCTTCAAAGAGGCCTCGGTGCCGCGAAGATCCCCAGATGGATTGAGAATGCTTGTGCCGGTGCTGAGGGACACGTGGTGCCCAGGATAGCTGTCAATGTCGTGCTCTGAATCGCGCGGGTCGGTCATCGACAGGATTCGAGAGCGGAGGGCGTCGAGACTAGTCAGGCGGGAAACTGGTCTACCAACCAAGCATGGGAGGCATTCCCATGGGAAAGGTAGTAACTTCTTATCCAAAATTAGAATCGTATGCGTTTGATCCCAGCTCTGGTTCTCCAGTCCGGCGTGATAAGCCTGCAGAGCTTCAATGGTTTCGACGCAAATGGAGTCAAAGTCGACTTCGTCATAGGCATTGGTCTCTCCATTGAATTGCAGAATATCCACAACGAAGTAGAGAAGGTCAAGTAGATGCTCATCCAGATCAACGCCAGGGCCGTCCGGATTGCCCAAACCCGCAAAAAGGTCCAGCACTCGAGCGTCGAAATTGAACTTCTTTGGCGCGCCACGTCCCTTGCGAGAAGGCAGGTGTCGGTTCAGTATTTTCTCAAAGTTCCTTTGAAACAGAGCCATTTGCCGCCCGTCTCGGGAATGCTGTGATAGAATACCTTTAAAGCCGCCTAACCATATGTTTTCAATGTTAAGCAGAAGGTCGCGCAGGCGGGCATCAAGTGACTCCCGCTCGGCCCACCATTCCTTCTTCTCGGCTTTGCTGCCGTTCTCTGGGACGTTATGGGCACTCCAGTTCGACTGCTCGATGATCTCTTCTAGCTCTGCCTTCCCTGACTCGAACGAAAACACGTCCTCGTCTTGGTCTCGAGAGTTATGACGAACCATTGGCAAACGAACGGTGAATGGACTCCTGCCAGCCTCGTACTTGACAACATAGAGCTCATCTTGTGCATCGTTCAGATTGAGTGAAATGACGGACCACTGGGAGGGAATGATGTCAACATAATCGTTCTGAAAGCTAGCAATGCTAAGCCAGGAATGAGGGTCGGATAGCGTCGTTTCTTGTGGCCATGTCAAAAGAGCTGTGCGGTGAGAATCTCTTGCCTCCGCTCGGACATAGCTTTGTTCTCTTTTAGCCGCATTGATCCGTGGTATATCAAGGCTAAAGGCAGCTAAAAGAGGGTGCATTGCATCCATATCCGAACATGCAGAGACAGATAGAAGCATTGTGAGGTGTGCCACCGTGTTGCAAACTTGGAAGCCGTTGTGCAGAGAAGACGTTTTAAGTCCCCTTCGCATGATGTCCATAGCCACGCTACGAACAGACTTTAGTGACATCAGCAAGCCCTTTGCTGGGCTGGATTTAGCTGCTGGTCGGCCTGGCTGTCGCTTCCTTGGTGAGCTCCTTGTCTGCCTCGGCTCAGGGGAGATATGCAAATCAGCGAGGTCAGCCACTGAGGATTCGAGTTGAGTCCATGAAGGATACGAAATACTCGATTCCGGTAACACACTGAGACTGACGTCCCGAGAAAGCTCATCAATAGCCTGAGATTCCAATATATGGATTCGAGCCATCTGGTACTCAATTCGACTGGCGATGGCGGGAAAGGTTGTTTCAAGGGAATCAAGTTCTCGCAACGCCTGGTCAATGTCTCCGACTTTCACATTGCAATAGGCTTTGAATATTGCAACCTGTTCATTTGCGATCAGTAGATTGGCATCGTCATAAGCATCTTTCGGCGTCGGCTGGACGGATCGAGTGCCTCTTTTCACTGCCGATTTCTTGGACGGAGGGGCTTTCGTTTGAGCCTTCTTGATCCCAGGCTTGATCCCTTTCCTCTTGGAGGTGGAGGAATTGTTAAGTGTGAGCTGTTCCATTTCGGACACCAAATCGCTGCCTGGGCTGAGGTGTTGTTGCTTCGTAATCCATGCGAGGGATTTCTCAGCATAGTTATTGAGCATATCGGAAGCTTTGTCTACGCTTTCAGTTGCGCGTTCTATATCAGCCAGAGCCAGCGCCAACCCAGCACCTGTGAGGTGGACTTGGACTGAATGGACACTATCTGGCATATTCGGATGGAGCCCTTTCATCTCATTGATGCACTCGGCGGCTTCTTCCAGCCTTGTGGAGTCAAGGAGCAATCGTGCCTTTTGAGCCAGTATGTTGTGTTTCAGATAGGCCGACGAAATCGCAGCAGCCACCTTGTAGGCTTGGTCAGTCCAGTACAAGGCATCCTGATAGATGCCTTGTGTAGCTAGCAGTTGTGAATACTGGCATATTGACCGGATCATGGGTGGTATGAGTCTCCAGAAAGCTGGGCCTTTCAAACGATTGTGGGTCATGGACATGATCAAGGGGGATTTCGGGTGCCGTGATGCTGCGTCACTGTCCGAATCCGGTGCTGTGATGTCGGATAGCTCTGACGTTGCCCCTTCGCTCGCCTTCAAGCGCCCGAGGGAAGATATGTCGTTTGTCTCATTCTGTCGAGTTTCCAACGTTGCCCAAGTGCGCCTGTCCAATGTGATGCAACGCCTTGCACAGCATAGCGCGCTTTCGAAAGAGCCGTCCATAGCGTCCAACTGGGACTGCAAGCAGCATGCTTCGACAAGAACCCTACTGATTCTCATTCTTTCCGACAAGGAGGCCGTCGGTTCCGCCAGCGCTTGGAAGAATTTGCCTCCTTCGAATAGGTTACCGGCAGCAGAGAAGCTTTCGCGGCACTTCTCAATATTGCCCAGAGCGAGCAGGTACTGCCCATAGGCGAGGTTCCAATGTAGCTTCGTCTCGGTGTCAATATGACTAGAGTCAACTAGTTTGTGTGACTTCGAGAAGACCATTCCTGCGTCTGAAGTACGGCCTATGGACAGATATGCCTGAGACAGTGAAACGTATGCCTTCAACAGTTGATTTCTTTTGGAAGAGCCAGCGGCATTTAATATGACGACCAGTGATCGAAGGCATTGCACTTGCAGCTCGTACTGACCGTGCAATACAAACATGTCGGAACTCGACTGGAGAGTTCCGATTGTAGCCTCTGGGTCGTTTAGGAATTGCCCCGGGTCAGGTTCGCCAGCCATGCCGTCGGTAAGGGAAAGCCATAAGGCGATGGCTTCGTGTGCGCGATCGAAGTTTACAGGATGAGTTTGCAAGCAACCAACCATGATGGCTGTCGCTGTTATATCAAGCTGGTACCGCACTAATCCTTCATCGCGGGCCAATTGATTAACTGGTCCGATAGAATTTCCTTTGCACAAATCGAGCAGAGCTTGGGAGAACGTGCTCCCAGTGTGTGAAGTCGCTCTTCGTATGAGGGTATCCACCCGCCGTCTTCGAAGCGGAAACTCGGAGTCGGTGTATATCTCGAGAAGGGCGTTTCCAAGTGCTTCGATATCTTCCAATTGTTGGATCATACCAGTCTGTTTTGACAGTCCGACCTTATTGCAGGCCACACTGAGAAGGTACTCCAGCAATGAGCCTCGTTCCCCTGGTCCGAGGTCCAGGCTCATGTTGACGACCTCTGCTATTCGACTCTTCCTTGGGAGAGCCGATGATTGCAGGAATGAGCGACAACAGCTGCCCGGAAGCTCTAAAGGTCCACCTCTATCGAAGATCTCTCGCAGTGGTTTGATCGCAGCCAACTTCATTGCTCTGTTCAATAGCCCGTTGGCGATGCATCCCCTCAACGCTGCTATCGCATTATCGGCAGATTTATCGATCTCTCCTTCATTGAGGAGGATTTTGCTCAGCGTAACCAATTTTAGAGGAAACAACTCATCCTGACGAGCAACATCAGTGTGGCTTTTCAGTACATTAACCGATCTTCGAAGAGCATTGAGAGCGGTTGGCGACAAGGAATCTCCGGACCTTGACTTCAGGAATGATGTCCAGTAAATATTCGAGATTAGGGTAAGTGAAGGAGGCCAAGGTTGATCCACATTGCGCTGCATCGCAGAACCAATGATCGAGACACATCTTGATAGTGTCAGGTCCAGCTCATCGAAGCATATGGGCCCGGAAACTCCGATTCGACAGGCAACCAATGCCGAATCAATGAAAGCCTTTGTGATGCGCGTCGACAGAGAAGACCGAGATTGTTTCTCCTCACGGCTGACTGTGTAGTCAGCAAAGAATTGGACGGAGCTGAAAATTGCGCGACAGAGCAGGCCAGTATCAACAGAGACAGGTTCTTCTTGCTTGGATTTTGATGCAGCTGAAGTATCCCAGAGCAATTTCGTCGCAGCTTTCCGAAATCCTGCTACTTCAGCGAGCACGATTTCGGTTCTCGGTAGACACGGACCAACATCATTTGCCAACAACTTGGTTGCTGAGTCCAAAGTTGTTGGATCTACTTGTCCACAGTCGAGGTGAACAGTGGCGCTGCGTATCAGAGACACAACATCATTTGTGTCCGCAAGAGAAGACGATGTGCCGGCCGTCCATCGTAAAGTTTCATCAAGCAACTTCGCAGACCGTGCCTCACCGCAGAGGGTTCTCTTTATTGATTGGACTATCCCATCATTGAGATCCGCGGCCTTATCGTCGATGTCATTCGAAAGTAATTGATAGCATTCCTTAGCATATGTGTACTTCTTCTCAGGGCTAGCCTGGCAGCGTCTGACATAGGCATTTAGACATCTTGAAAAGGATTCAAGAACTTCGTCAAAAATGGAAGGATCCAGCTTGCCCAGTGTTCCTTTACGCAGTCGAGTATGGAGCGCCAGGGTCTGTAACTCTAGAACAGTAACCGGGTCAGGATATCGTTTCCGATCCGCGACAGTTGAGTCTTCAGACGAGGAGATGCTAGGACACATCGACAGTATCGTCTGTGCCAATGTATCCAGCTGTTTGAACGCCTTCGCTCCGAATTTAGGATTTCGGACTTGTTCAAGGAGAAGGGTTTGAAGACATGACTTGCTCTCAGCCCGGAGATGCTGAAGACTAGCTCGGATTTCTGCCGGATCTCCTCGGTTGGCGATGGCCTTTAGCACCAGAAGTTGGTGTGAGATGAGGATATTCAGCAAACCCGGCTCAGGGGGGGTTGTCGGGGCAGTTAGTAGCGATACGAGACTCGTTTGCTTCGATCCTCTTGGCCCTGATGGGCGCCCACTTGTTGATGCTACCGTGATTCTAACCGGCGATGAATCGAGCCTTCTCTTCAGTACATGCAGCTCCTTGAGCGCTATTGGGTCCAGTCTTGCCGATATCAGCTTTCCAATGAAACTGATCATCCCATTCTCGTACTGCAAGGCAGGGAGATCTTTGGACCCATCCACGCTCGATATATGCTTTTCAAGATATGCGAACGCTGCATGAGCGCATTCCGCAACTACCCGTTGGGCAACAGCATTCTGCCCCTTCTCCGCGGATGGAGAGATTGTTTTTTTGGCACCAGTAACAGATGGTTTGATTCGGGTATTGGCGACTTTCTTAGGTGATAACGGAGGGTTCGCGTGGCTTGATTTTGTCTGCCCGGTCGACGCTCTTTTGACGGATGGTTTCGCCGACTCGGAGAGTAGTCGCAAGGCGGAGTTTATAATCTCAGTCGCGAGGAGAAGCTGGTTTTTCTTGCTAAGTTCGTATGTATCTTCGTGGATGCGAGCAGGCTTCGTGGATCTTGACGTCTTGGTCGGCCGGGGCTGGAGGGCGGTCGATTTCGGGTCTCTTCTCGAAGATATAGGGGCGGATTTCTCTCGCGGCTTCGGTCCCATCTTATTGTTTTCAACATCTTGATTGGACACTACTAGCTCCTCGAGCCCAAGCAATTGTCGTATGCGCTGGACATTCGCTGCTGTACCACTTCCAAGCGAAGCCACCGCCGCCTGGATCACCGCTGATCCATCATCTGTGAGCACCATTGAGACGTTAAGAGGATGTCCAAATAAGGCATTGGGAATTATGATATGCTCGCGAGTGCATCGTGTATCGCATGCTGAAGAGTTCGTGTAAATATCATTAAGCTTTCGAATCGATTCGCGACGTCGAACATGAAGTTGACATTTATCCTAAATAGGTTTAGTGCAGTATACATGGCCTGTGCTCCGAGACAAGTCATGACTTATTGATTGATGGCTGATGACTCGTGATATCGACGATTCTATGAAGTCTGCTGTGATGTGTTTGAGTCATGCCTATCTACTTGTACATCCCATCATCCATTCAGATTCCGGGATGACTTTGAGTCATCTCGGTTATGTTCCACTGAGGATCGTATTGATAACGAGTTCAGAAATTGATACGTTTACACTGTATAACTTATCGACCCTTCCCTAACTGTTAAGCTGTACCGGTACTTTATGGGATTCTGATCGCCCTTGACAACCGCTTGCTAGATGGACTTGCTTTCTGGTCACATTTGAAGCCGCTTAATAGCGTCTACTGTGTGAAATTCAAGGCGTGAACAAATCAAAGTCTCTAGTCCCCGAAGTCTAATCATTAGTGAGGGGGTTTGAGCTATCCGCCTTTCAAATCCCAACGTCTATGAACGCAGAATAGCACCGTTATCTTGGGAACATCACATTCACTCATCAGTCTCCCCAGTATCACTCACCATGAGCGATACGCCAATTCAAAGTGATCCCTCGAGATCACAACTTGAGCTTCGGACCGCATATGGTCCGGTTTTCCGAACCATCCTCAACGAAGGCCCAAGGAACGCTACAGACAATGAAGTGCCAATCATCGACCTCTCAAATCTTGACTCGGAGAATATTCAGGAAAAGATAGAGCTAGCTGGAAAGATTCACCAATACTGGTTTTTTCTATATTAAGAATCATGGTATTCCGAATGATACCATTGAAGATGCCAGGCAGTCCACGCTCACGTAGGTCCAGTTCTAAATCGTCGTAGAGATCATAGTGTCGTATAGATTGACAACCGTTAGATTCTTCAAGCAGCCCCTCGAAATAAAACAAAAGGCTTCACTGTCAAAATCCAAATACTTCAACGGCTATTCGGCTCCGCAGTCCACTCGTGCCAACCCCACCGTCTCCCGCGATACCCGTGAATCATTCAGCTGGCGTTACGAGCCTTCGATTGATCCCGATCCAAAGCCCGCTTCCGAAGTCCCCGAGGAAGTCAAGAAGTGGCTTCGGGCCGAGGACTTTGTATGGGAGGAAACATCAAACCTGCCGTTGTTCAGGCCTCACATGCTGGCCTATTGGCAGGCATGCCTCACGCTCGCTCGAAAGCTGGTCCGAATCTTTGCGTTGGCGTTGGATCTCCCCGAATCGTACTTCGACAACCGGACTACGTATCCCGGGGCTGACGGAGTGCTGAACTATTATCCGACGCCGACGCCAGAGGAGTCGGCTGCAGACAGCGTTGGAGTGGGCGCTCATACCGGCCTCCAGCTCTTCACTTTATTGTGGCAAGACGATGTTGGTGGACTGCAGGTGTTAACCAACGAAGGTAGATGGATTTGGGTACCACCTAAGGAAGGGACCTTCGTGGTCAATATAGGGGACTTTCTAATGCGCCTCTCAAATGACTTGTTCAAGTCTACGGTCCACCGAGCATTTAATCGTCCCACAATAGAGAGGGTGTCGATGTCTTTCTTCTTTGGTGATCACCCCAGAAGATTAAACCGATCGACACGGTACTGATCTGGTGTAGGGTTGAACTTCAACTACCCAATCGGAGCAGACCAAAGCTGACCGACCCTAACAGTGGTGCCAATTGAGGTTTGCACTGGAGCAGGATGACAAGAAGGATTGAGACCCCAATCCGTCTCGCAATTCTACGCCTCGAAGGATTGTGACACTCGGCTCATAATTCAGAGCATGGCAGTCGCCCAGCGGGTTTAGCTTTGATATGCGAGATGCATCGTGAATACTCTAGTTTCCAATGTAGCCATAAGGGCTGATTCTCCTCCAATATCGCGAGTCTTGATTGCTCGCGTTGTGGTTGTAAAAGTGTACATCGCCACAGGACACTATTCCACAGATTCCCGGGTTTGTCGTGGGCCAGATGTATTTTGCAGACATGACCTCTACTCTATTACAGGAAACGTTTCCGACATCGCGACATCCCCCGATACTGCCGCTGTCCGATTAACTGAGAAGCTCTTTGATGTCCTCGATCCGCTGTAGCTTCTTCTCTTCGTCACTCATCATACCTAGCGAGCTCGCTCTTCACATATGTTAGCCATACGGCCGTGCGCAATGCAAACCAAATCAACAAAGCCACTTACAAGAATTTCTTCCGATCCTGTATCTTTAACATCTTCTCCTCGATGCTCCCTTCCACGATGAACCGCACAACGCCCACTTCGCTCTCCTGCCCCATACGGTGCACGCGGTCGATAGCTTGTGCTTCGACTGCAAAGCTCCACCAGGGGTCCATCATGAACACTTGCTTTGCACAGGTCAGATTGAGCCCCACACCACCGGCGCGCAAACTCAGAAGGAGCACACAGCTCTTCGGCTGTGCACGGAATTCTTCGAGTACTACGGCACGCTGCTTCTGCGCCATGGACCCATCAAACCGGAGGAACTTGATGCGGTCTCGAGCTAACGCAGGCTCGATAAGGTCGAGGAATGACGTGAATTGAGAGAAGACGACGGATTTGCAGAGAGGATCTTTCTGGCGGATGCGCTTCAGATGGGCGAGAAGCGCTGTGACCTTGGCGGACGCGTCGCAATTTAGCCTTCGCAAGGAAATGCTCGGTTTATCAGCATCGTCAGGATCTGCGTCATGCCGGATGACCTGGAAAATATCGCGAACATTGATGGGCTCGCGGCAGTTGAAACACCGGGGAACGATTCCTTTCTCCTTCTGGTGTTCGATGAAGTCAAGCAGACACTGCTTGCATGCGCTGTGCCAACAGCTAGTGACCGCCTGGTCCACCATCGGCTCATCGGAGCAGATGGGGCACTCAACGTCGGCCTCCTCTTGGATTTGCTTCAGGACGTGCGCTCCGAACTTGTTGGCATCCTGCTCGGTATTGTCGGTGAATCTTGATATGAGATCATTCAAATCCATATCATCTCCAAGGCCTGTCGCAAGATCTGCAGCTGCTCCCACAATCTCCTCGTCACGGACGATGTCGTTATTTCGCGTCAAGACCGGGTGGCAGCACGACTGACGAAGGCGAAGAATTTGGGCGAAGATGGTAGCATACGACTTTAGGAGTGTGCCTGCCTCCACATTTTGATTCAACGTCCGCTTAGTTCTCAAGAAAATATGATCGTAAACATCTTTCTCGGCCTGCGAGAGCTGTACTCGATCGATTTCAATGGTCCGAGTTGGAAGGGGAACAAGTGCTTCGCCTTCGGGAGTTTTCATGTCTTTGGTTCGTCGCAAAACAAGTGGCTCCAGCACGGTCTGGACGACGTCGAGGGCTCTGATGAAGTCTTTAGACTCAAACGGCATAGTGATGAAGGTTTTCCAGAATGAGAAGTTGCTCCACGGTTCGACTCGAAGGAACTTGACCAAGGAGAACAAATCTTCCAGTCGGTTGACGATCGGTGTCCCGGTCAATGCCCATCGATGAACGGCACTGATTTCGTAGCACGCTTTGGCAGTCTTCGACTGCCTGTTTTTGATGAAGTGGGCTTCGTCGAGAATGACACGGAAATATTCGACAGAAAAAAGGCCGCCGTGCGTGCCCCGATTGCCCCCGATCGCCATCATCTGATTGAATTCTGAGAGCACGACGCCATAGCTGGTGATAATGAGATCCGGAGCATCTGCAGTATTCGCTCCACTGCATAGACCTTGTAGGTTGGCGCTCTTGTCGCTGCCATAGTAGACAAGCGTGTTCATGGTGCCCGGCTTCGACGCCTTTTCTGCTTCGCTTTGCCATTGGGATAGGAGCGACATCGGGGCAACAACTAGAGTGGTTCTCGGCGCACTCTCAACGGTTGATGTGGCTTTATGAAGACGGGTAAGCTTGTTGGTCTTGCCCGACTCCAAAAGCAAATCGGCGTCTATTCGATGACTATGCATCAGGCTCAGCATTTCGATGGTCTTGCCGAGACCCATTTCTATGTTTTCGTCAGTTTAAGTTGAATAGTGAGTGGACGTCACAAACCGTCTGCCAATATGCCACCTAGGCAATTCTGCTCTTGAACCGGGAATGCTAAAGAGAGCTCTCCGGAATATGGATTGACATAGAACTGATCCTGGTTATAATGTGGCAACGGTTGGTCATCCGCATCTGTCGTCGGCCATTCATATTGCTCCCAGAGAGGATGCATCGATTCTTCTCGATCGTCACTTCTCTTGTCGGCCTCCTTGCCTAACATCCAGTGCAAGGCTTGCTTTTGATATTTGCGTAATTCCATAACAAAGGTTTCCGCTGGTTCCGCTTCTGGCGTGTTGAAATCAAAGGATTGTGCCTTCTTGTACAACGTGTCGAGCTGGTCCTGTTCCAGCTCCTGGCCATCCTCATTCTCGTCCGATGGAGGAGTAGAAACGGGATCCTCAACCGCTCGGGATGGCTGGGTTGATTTGTTCTTCTCCTTCTGATCAGACACTTCTGCGGCCTTCAATATACTTTGTCGCTTAGCTGTATCGGAAATTTTCGGGGCCGTAGTGGGATGTAAATTGATATCTTCGAATAACCGAACCAAGGCGACTTGTCGAAGACGAAGTGCTTTCTCACCCGTTGATTCTTTCGATTCGAAGAGATTCGGTCGGTCATTCTCTTGTACCCTGAGCAAGTCATTCTCTTCAAATGCTGAACGACGGAAGTAACAGCGGATCTGGAGGTAAATTGTGTCGGAAGACCTGATCCTCTCGGGCACATAAACACAAGTCCCTGAGAAGCGACAGAGGTTTTGATCGATCAATGTCGAAACCCAGTATGCAGTTTCATTCTCCAATCTTCCCACCTCTTCTCCTCGGGGATTTGTGAATCTCACAACGATATCATGCTTCTTGCTGTTGAAGCCCCTACCTTTTTGCTTGGTCGGGGCTTGAGGTCTGGCTCGTTCAATCCCGACTTTATCACCATGCTTAAGCAGTGAATACCCGCTACGGGTCGCCCAGCCAGTTGCACCGAACGCTCCCATGTATCGCTCTGGAGGGACGCCTGGAGTATTTGATCTGGGTTCCGGAGCAGGGCGTGCTTCGGTTTTCGCAGTGTCCGATCTAGATGATTCGTCTTCCTTATGTGCTAGGATCGACTTCTGAGGTTGCTCGTTTGAGTTGTTGGTCGTGATCTCTGATCTTTGAACCCTCCAAGAGCCGTCAAGGTAGATATTGATAGCTGTGGAAACAACTATTAGTGGTTTATAATAGATATGCGAAGTACGCGACACTTACCTCTCTCCAGATTGCTCCCACTCAGGGACTTCAGTTTCTGGATATCCAGCTCTGTAAGTTCTTCCCCGATCACAGCCGAAAGAGTGGCAAGGTCGAATCCATCGTTGATCACAGAAACACCTTGCTCTGCTCCTGTTGCTTGAGGCTGTTCTGCAGAAGTACTAGCCAACGCGCTCGTTGTAGTATCTGGTGAGACTGAGTCGAAGAATCGACGTTTCTTTGCGGGCCTTTCGTCGAAGTCGGCCATGTTCGAACGGCAAATGATGCACATGAAGGGAATTCAGCACGAATCCCCAGCGGTAAGAATTTTAATAACAGAAAAATCTAGACATCCCCGCTCTTCGATACATCCCTATGAACGCGGCAGACGAAACGAGGGGTTGTAGTGAATTGAATTTGTATAGATGAAGAGTTAGTATCACGATGGTTCACTTCCACGGCATATGACAAGGTGGAGAGGAGACGCGCCTCAGAGGAGCCGCGGACGTCGACGCGACTTGATAGCGACATGGGTGACGGCCTGATGGGTTGGCGAATCGCGTGGCTCCAATTTTCAACTGAGTAATTAGTGGGCACTGAGCATCGATGCATCGCTATCTCCCGCTCTACACATTTCCCTCGAGATTTGGCCATGCACACGAGCCGTCATGGCATCAATTGAAAGGCGGAAATGCTCAAATTGGCCCGACTGAGCCCAACGCATCGGCTTGCGAGCCGTGGTACATTTCCCCTTGTATCAAAACCCTCGCAACACCCATATCGACGATACTACGCCTCGATCCCTTCTGCTGCTGCCGAAGCAGAGATCAGCTCGTCGCGGAATTATTGCATTGGTCTACTCAGGTGATTCATCATTGGACTTCCGGATTGTGTCATCAATATCATGCTGATTGTGTACAAGGAAATTTGACTGGCCCTCCTATGTTCTGCAGACCTTCATTCCAACTCGAGCCCGGGATGCATACATCGCAATTCGCGCATTCAACGTTGACCTGGCCAATATTGCCGATGTGACGAGCAGCCCCACTGTAGGGGCTATGCGTATGCAGTTCTGGCGAGATGCTGTCAAGAAAGCCGTGGCTGGACGACCGCCCAAGGAGCCCGTTGCTCTCTTCCTGTCCTATGCCGCCGAAGATCTTTACAAGAGGACCCAGGGCAAGCAGAAAATCAGCCTAGCTTGGCTGAATCGTGTGATCAGCACGAGAGAGAAACATTTGACCAACCCGCCGTTCCCGGATTTGGCGTCCGTCGAGACATACGCGGAAAGCACGTATTCAACATTGCTCTACCTCACGTTATCGACTCTGCCGATGGCATCCATCACGGCCGATCACCTGGCGTCCCATATTGGCAAAGCCATGGGCATCACAACGTTGTTGCGGGGTCTGCCCATGATAGCTTTCCCGAATCCACGGTCACAGCACACCCCCGCAGCGCCACTTGGAGGGTCGCTGGGAGGAACCAAACAGGGGAACGTCCTACTGCCTCTCGACATCATGGCAGAACATGGGGTTCGAGAGGAAGACATCCTCCGAACGGGGCCAGCGGCGAAAGGTCTCACGGATGCGGTTTTCGCGGTTGCCACTCGAGCGAACGACCACCTGATCACGGCCAGAACGATGCTACAACAGCTAAAGTCGGAGGGCAACGTCGGCCATGAGTTTGAACACCAGCATGACGAGGGCCATGCCTACACTGCGGATCAGAGATCTCTCCCAGCCGAGTCCCAGCGGAACGAGGTGGATAAAGCATTCGGTGTCTTGATGCCGGCTGTGTCCACACGGCTCTGGTTACAAAGATTGGAAACCGTCGATTTCGACGTCTTCAATGCCAAACTAAATCACAGGGAATGGAAGCTACCATTCGCAGCTTATATCGCGTTCAGCCGAAGATCCTTTTAGTCGAACGAATCGATCGACCGGGTGAATGTCTCGCTCAAGCCTAGACTTGTGCGGACATGTCTCGCAGCTTGCAATGACATGAATACCAACAGCCCCAACCATTCACAAGGTTGTGGATCTTGGTCGACTGCACATCCTGATTGGCACCGCAATATTAGGCTGATTCCTCACTTCGGATCGCCACTGTGAACTCAGCTCAGAGGTTCATACCACGGCATTTGGAGAAACACACCAACTGGATTTGAAGACAGCCCAACCAATCCTCGTGCATCGGTTGTCTCGGTCTGCCAAAGCTACCGAAGACACTTCTGGGAGCGGATCATGGGCATGGTGCGACGGAAATGAGCATCATTGGGTGCTTATGCAGGTCGACTATACAATGAGAAGCTGTATGCAGTATATGACAGACGCAGATCTGATCCATGAGGGTCCAAATCTGCGGTTTAAATACTATTCACACTACTTTTTTCCAAAGCCTTCGCCGGCAAATTGACACAATTGGACAGTTCGAATGAGAATAACATACCGATATGACTATCAAGAATTCAGGATATTTCCGCCAGCCACAACCGCGGAGCTTTATTGGATCACCAGAATAAACCAGCCTTGTCCTGGGACCGTCTGCATGACTGACGCCCATTGAGCACTGTGAGAGCTGAAGCCCATCACCACGAGACGATCATCCTACCTGCATCCGTCACAGATCTCCGAGACTGCCGGTCTGTCGGATCGGCCTGTTAAAAAATTAGAGTGACCATGCTGGTGAGAGCGTCCGAGCGCTGAGAGATCGGGATTGCAGCAGCTGGCTGGCTTCGTCACGATCCGTCTGTGCATCCTGATGGTACTTCCGTCCGGCCCGGAAGTTTGCTTCGGCAGCTTCGCCACGATAGAAGTATAATGGTTCGTAAACACGTCTCACATTCGACAAAGTCTACAAATATGCTCCAGTTATTTCCATGTCTTTAAAGTCTAATACCATTAGAGGTACCTCATGCACGAAATATTACGCTCAATCTTGAAGAGCCCCATCCTCCTTCTGCCAAGCCGCCTCAAAACGCCTCTTTCAACAACACAGCTGAAAGCCGGCAACGTTGATCCGCGATTACTGCAAAGAACGCCCCCTACTCCCCACCATTTGCCGAGTCTGAATTACATAGTGGAGATTGACATTTCTTCGTAGGCGATGTAGTGTTTCAATGCTCTTTGTGGATAGTAGGGGGGAATTTCGCGACTCACTTCCGTTCGGACCCACCAGTGACCAGATACTCAGTCCCGTCTCGCATAAACCACCACCCTCGGGTATAGATTCGAAGGCGGACAAGGCACACGCGACCTTGCCGGGTTGGCTCTATGGTCATCTACTTTCAAAGTGGGTTGGAACGTGGGAGGCGCCGTGCCGTGACAGCTGAGGCCTTGGATCCGTGCCGTCTCGTGGTTTCAAGGTTCGTTTGCAGGCGGAATCTCTCCCTCGCGTGAGACCCAACACGGCCCTTAGCTAGGTACGCAATCGAGGATTCATCGTCATCTAGACGAGGATGAGGAGTCGAATCAGCCGGGCAAGGTTGGTCAGATGCGTCACCGTCTATTGGGGCTGCAACGGACGACAGGTTCACGTACATGTAAGATCGGGGTGAAATTTATGGCATCCTTCACGTCTTTATATACTGTGGACCCCCTTCCCCTCTCCAGGGCGTCTCGTATTGCGCTGCGTTCTATAAGCGCTTGCCTGCTTGCAGTCCCCGCGATCGACCAAATCCTGTCAGTAGCTGATATACTCTTGTACCTGTCTCTGGCAGATCGGTTTGATTGAATCCCGCAATATACCAGACCCTAGCTGGTTGACACGGCTTATCGCAAACAAACTCGCCTCTTTCTTCGAGTACATCAATTGGAATCCTATGGCAATATCGACAGTATAAAGCTACTCGGCATTCCGGTATTGCTACGCACAACGCCCCCTCCAGTCATTCGTTTTTCTCTCCTCTCCAATTGGCACATCCCACATCAGGCCCTGTCCTACTTTTCAGCTCATCGATGCCTTGTGATCGGTGCTCTACTTTTTCTCGTACTCGTCAGTATCACAGCCGCTGCCGTCTTGAGGCTGCGGCATCGTGCAAGAGGAAGAACCTATCATCCGAGGTTCGACCTCCGGGCCGTCAACATGCCCGATAATCAGCCTGGCACTCCGTACATGCTCGAAGCGAAGGTGCCCAATCAGCTCGGTCCGCAGACTGAAAAAGGGACGTCGGGCTCGGAACCCATGGGATCGGGACAGCCGATCGCATTTACAAGGCCCCCCGAGCCCCTCCCAGGTCCCGAAAACCATCCCTTCTTCGCCGACGTCGCCGGGCCGCTGTCGCCGTCGGCCGAGACGAATCCCACGTTGCCCTCTCCCGTCACCCCTCTGGAGAATGCTGCTGCGCAAAACGACACCACCATGTCGGATGATGGTCCACCGTCATTGTCGAATGTACCGCCCCCTTCTTTTCCCACCATCAGACCTCTTTCCCCTGCCGCTCTCGCTCCTACTGCCACCCCGACGCACGCCACTGGGCGGGATGATGACGACGGAACCGCAGATCGACCAACCGATGCGCCGGCTAAGACTTCAACGCCCTTGAAGACGAGCGCGTACTCGTATCGCTATCGACTGCCTCACGGAGGCACCGACACGGAGCCGGGTACCACGAGCAAAGAAGTGCACATCCAGGGGTTCCTGTGGCATGGTCGCTCGTGGAGGAGGAACATGTGGTTTGCCGAAGTGGCCGCGGCGGATGGCATGGTGGAAGGGACTGAGCGGAGCCCGTCTTCGGAACGGGAGATATCGGCATGATGCGTGCTTTCGGCCGGTTCCTAGCATTGGGTGTTCCCTAGGAGGATATGGTATCAGATTGGATGACTTGGGGGTTTTCAATAGGAGTTTGGTCTGGCTGGATAGCCTGGCACGTTTGTCCGGATCGCGGTTCTGGGGAACGCATTGGGGATATATGACCGCCTATTCATGGTCACGATTGAAATATAACTGGGCGGAGCCATCGTAGTTTTTCAGCCCTTGCGTTGGCGAAATGTTCGATTCGATGAACAGAAGTTGCATCTCGATTCCACACCATCAATGACACAATGTGATTCAACGGCCTTGGAACTCACCATATCCGATTGACGTGAAAGCTTTCGCGAAGCCCTCGATCCCCAACCTCACGCACCCATGGACGCTCATGTGCCATGCGAACCCAGTTTCTCGGCATCGAGCGGGGTGAAGGCGGAAAACTGCAGACATCAACAGATGAGGTATCTAATCAACGCACCCATCGCGAGGCATCGACGCTCTGGGGAATTTCATAGGCTCGACGGCTCTGGGTTTTGCTGGTCCATTGCAAGGCTTGTCCCAGTCGGTCGTGATAACAAGCAGCGCCGAGGATGAGACGGGATATTTGCCTTAACTCAAGTCTCAACTCTCAAGCTAGTAGCTGCTGTGTTCCCTCAGGGTCTATATCTTGTACTATATCCTACTCGTGTGACACGGGACACCACAAAATGGTAATATACACTATCTTGGTCTTCCAACTTCCAAGACACCATACGATGGGCTAGGGCAGGGTCTCCGGACGGACTCCTCCTTCTGGAAGCAAGCTTTAGATGAGAATGCCGAGGAAGGCTTAGTGGTACTCTGATGACCACCTGCCACCTGGCACCCGGAATATCTCGATGCTCGTCTCGTCGGATGATAGGCTGATCTATAGTTTCCGGAGATCCCGACTATTTGTCTCCCCGGCTCCCTAGCATTACACAAATCATAATACTGCAGACCTATGTCGCGGTCTCGGAGATTTCTAATGCGCCAGGAAAGGACCCGTCTGCTAGTTGGCTTCATTTCCGATTATGCAGTGCGTTGAGACTTGGAAAATAGTAGGAAAGGGTATCGGACTGCGTTCGCATCACACGTTCGAGCATTGACGTCACTTGTAAATCTGGTAGCCACCAATCCAAAGTCCAAACCAACACCACATTCCCCAGCCCAATGATAGGAATTAGAATCTTCCAATTGAACCGATAATAATATCTTCTGCAAAGGAGTCACATTCCGATGTACCAGATCCCCGTGGATCGACTCCTCGTGATCGAGATTGAACGGATAATTGATCCATGCAAGTTATGGAACAGAATTGGGCATCCAAGCCGCGAGCCAATGGGCATCCAAGCCGCGAGCCAAGGGCCAAGACCGCCGAACAGCTACAAGCCGCGATAAAGGTGGGGAGACAACTCAGACAAGGCGAACCCGAGAACTCTTGTCTCTGCTCGTGAGAGTCTTGACGGAGCGGCGTGTGTCTTGACTCCCTCTGTAGTCTGCACAAGAAAAAAAAGGCTTGGATACTTCTATCTCCATTCTCAAAGGCTCCAACGGTCTTTCCAAATACTTCCTCACCTCATCATTCGTTCGCCACTTGACCTTTCCTATCCAGTCTTCTCTCCAGAGGGTTCTACTAGATGATCTCTGCATACTACAAAACCTCCTCACTCGTACAGACTATGCTCTTTCGCTTCTCTCCAACCGACCACACCTTCACGCTGGTCGCAATCCCTCATTCGCTTTTTGACTAAGCCCTAATCTCGAGACCGAACAATTCTCTCTGGCTGAGAGCCCTCCGAACTTCTATGCGGCGCGATTGACTCGCTTCTGTAGGCAATTGACGGCCGCGACTGTCCGCGACCAATTTCTACATGAGGTACGAATCGACTTCGATACGGATCCCAACAATCTCGAACGGCTGGCTTCGGACTGCCACCGTCGGTCCTCGTCGACCTCCCTAGAGCCAGTCAAGGCCTCGTCGATACTATCGTTGCCTACACGGAGGAGACTCCAGTCTTGAATAGTAGTCGTTGCTCCATCTTCGACCATACCGATATTATTTCACCTGCGAATTTGGGTTGGCATCCTGCTCAATTATTATACCCTCGACATTAGACTTTTACCTTCGTTGCTAGCGGAGATACTCCCATAATTATGGCGTGGGATCATCTATCTATAAACCGACCGCATCTGGTCTACATCATCCTCGGTGGCTTCACCAGCTTGTTCATGCTGTGCTCGTCCCTCATCAAAGAGCGCCTGTACATCGGCGAAGCCACTGTAGCCACCATCTGTGGCATAATCTTCGGTCCCCATGCCGCGAACCTGATCGACCCCATGACATGGGGGAACACCGATCAAATCACCCTCGAATTCTCACGCATTGTCTTGGTTGTGCAATGCTTCGCGATTGGCGTCGAATTGCCGCGATCGTACATGGAGAAGCATTGGCGGTCGGTCACGTTGTTGCTCGTCCCGGTCATGACTTTTGGGTGGCTAATCACCTCTTTATTCATTTGGTGGATGTTCCATGAGCAGATGAACTGGCTGGACAGTCTTATCGTTGCGGCATGCGTGACGGCCACCGATCCCGTTTTGGCATCCTCCGTTGTTGGAAAGGGCAAATTCGCAAAGCGTATCCCGAAGCACTTGCGAGACCTCCTCTCCGCGGAATCAGGCTGCAATGACGGAATGGCCTTTCCGTTCATTTACATCGGCCTATATATTATTCGATATCGACCGGACGCGAACAAGGTCGCTTTCCATTGGTTCTGCTTCACCGTTCTGTACGAGTGCGTCTTCGGTGCTATCTATGGCGTTTTAATCGGCTATATTGCTCGTCGGGCCATTCGGTACGCGCACGAGAGGGACTTCATCGACAGGGAGAGCTTCCTTGTGTTCTACTTCGTGCTGGCCTTGTTCTGTGCTGGCTCCGGCAGTATCCTTGGCGTGGACGACCTACTGGTAGGCTTCGCAGCAGGCGTCGGGTTTAGTAATGACGGGTGGTTTCTCGAGAAAACGGAGGAGTCGCACGTTTCGAACGTCATCGATTTACTGATCAATTTGGCGTTCTTCGTCTACTTCGGCACCATCATTCCATGGGAGCAGTTCAACACCGACATTCTCGGCATCCACCCGTGGCAGCTGATAGTGCTTGGGCTCCTCGTCCTATTCTTCCGTCGGATTCCAATCATGCTGGCTCTGAAGCCAGTTATACCGGATCTCAAGACATGGCGTGAGGCTCTGTTCGCCGGTCACTTTGGTCCTATTGGAGTTGGCGCGATTTTCATCTGCATCCTTGCACGCGCGGAGTTGGAGACGGAGGGCACGACACCGCTCGCTGAGCTCCCACCTAAAGACTTCGAGCACATGAATGTCATTGAGATGATTTGGCCGATAACCGCGTTCTTGGTCATCACGTCAATCATTGTGCATGGTTCCTCGATTGCTGTTTTCACGCTTGGAAAGCGAATCAATACCCTCACTCTCACATTGTCATATACTCAAGATCCTGCGGAAGGTCCCGGTTGGATGGAACGGTTACCCCGGATCCAGTCCAGGTCAAAGAGTCAAGCTTCGACGCGCCGTGCGGAAAGCGTTGACTCTGCCCTGGAGGAAAAGGTTGAGCTCACTCCTGGCGGCCTGGCCGTCCCAAAGAATTTCCTACGCCGACAAAAGGAAGAAGATGCACCATCGCGATCATCCAGTGCTCGACCGTTCCGCAGACGAAAGAGAGATTCGTCTGGATATGGTCTTGGAGGGCCCATCTCTCAAAGTGCAATCGAGCCGCTATCTATGCGGCAGAGCGAGTCAGATATCACTGGTGTTGTTTCTCCTACGGAGTCTGGCAGACAAATTTCCGCGACATCGCCTGAAGACGATTCCTTGGTCACGGAGACGGACGGCGCTCCTCTGAAAATCACCTTATCGAGCTTACCACCCCAAGTTAGTGAAATCTATCACGAGGGAGACCACTTCGTCTTCGAGGACCGTGGTGGAAATGTACTAGCTGTGACGCAAACTCGGGGCGAAAACGATGACGAACGAATTAAAAACGCGCAGGAAGACTTATTATCGCAGTTTGAGTCGCGAGGAGACGAGGAATCTAGGGGGCGCCCGCGCACTCCGAAATCCAGAAGAGCTTCCGCTATACCTGAAGCAAAGAAGGAGGAGGTCTCCGATCAGATCGAACCTGTATCAGCCCCGGACCATCACCTTTGGAACTGGCACGAGATACGACGCCGCGTGGGTCAAATCAGACACCATGATGGTGGAGAGCTCGAAGACCCAGCTAAAGGAAAAGGGCAAAAACGAGGACCGGCCTTGGCGTATCAATTTGGCAATACCATCATCGTCGAGGACGAACATGGCGAAGTCATCAAGAAATTCGATATTCCCGTGCAGAAGAAATCCGATCGACCTGTTCTTGAGCGCCGAGCAACCATCATGGACGCAAGCAGCGCATGGACTAAAGATGCAGTTCACAAGATGGGTGGTATGTTCGGTGCTCAACGGCTAGGTCATCAGACCGAACCTGTCGCAGAGGGTGGTGACGTGGAAAAAGGCGAGGCCGGTCCTTCAACTGCAGGCCCCTCGGGTCCCGCAAAGAAACCCCATGACGCTGACGCCGACGACGATCGACTACGGTTCCGCGTCGCCGCCGGTGGCCGTAAAATGTCGACTGCTGAGTTCATTGAGTCGTTCCGTCAATTAGAACCCAAAGCTCGCATGCTTGCTGTCAACAACTCGGACGCACCGGAGCATGTGAAACAAGAAATCAAAGCCGATGCCATGGCGCAGCAAGTTCAAAAGGCGCGCGGCGCCCCGGCCGTCAACATCGAGGAGACATCCTCCGGCTCCGTCTCGCCCTCTCGCCGTGCGCAAGATCCTGCTCGTCCATCCTCAACCCGGTCGAATTCACCGCGCAACGCCCCCCCACGATCGTCGGAATATACTCGTCTCGAGCCCATCCAGTCCCGTTCTTCTCACACGGACGACGAAGGCAGTCACGAGGTTCCCACGCATCCCCTTGCTGCTGACCTCGCCCGTTTTAATTTCGGCAACCACGGCGGCCAGGAAACGCCAGCCAACCGACGCAGACGGCTCGTCGCCCGTGTCGTCCACACGCCTTCGGACCAAGCCGAGCAAGCGCCCGACGACAACGAAGGCGAAACCACCGCCGAACGGAAGCGAAGAGAGGGCGCGTTAGGCATCACGGGCGGTGACGAGAACAGTGAGAGCAGCGACGACGAAGAAGAAGGAGAAGGGCCGGGAATGCGACGGGTGCCCGACGCCCAGACGCAACGGCAAGCGGTGACGTTCGCCGAACCGAGGCGGCCCACAGCGAGCGACGACGGGGGCGGGGAGGATGGGGAAGCGCAGGGCAGTGGAGAGACGAGGCGCCGACGTCTGCGATGGGCCGCGGGGAAGTAAGTGAGTGGCGGTCGTTTCGACCGTCCGGGATTGCGAACAGCTATATATCTTTCCTTTTTGCATGGAGTTTAGCAGCGGTTCTATCGTTCAGCGTAGTATCGCGATTGTGTGCGAGGAAAAGAGAGGCGGCACTTGATGATTGGTGATCATTGCTGCGGTGGAAAGGGGCATTACTAGACTAACTAAACTTCATGTAGCTAATCAACGCATTCATTGATACCCAGTCCAACCTGTCATATACACATCACGTCTCCCACGATGAGAATATCGCCAATGTAGCAGCGGACAGTCTATTTATCCGTAGTTCGCCCGGAAACACCACTGAAAGCAGCTACAGCCCACAGGATATTGCTCCTCACTCCTAGTCCATCCATTTACTGATCATCGGGGTCGATAGATTCCAAAGTTGTCAAACTCCTTAAGTGAATCGGCACTAATAGCTGTTAATGACTGGCGTCTCCACTGTCCCTGACTAAGACGCACCTAATGCCTTGTCGCGGACTTACTAAAGGAACAGGATTCGACCGGTGTTGAAGCGTGGCCGACTCTTGCGGTCGACCTCTTTGAAGTCCCGTCGAGGATGGACGAAGTTTTTGAAAGACTGCCATATATACTTCAAAGTGTTTCTGAGATGGGAAGACATGGCGATGGGGAAGGTTAGGGACAACCTTTATTGACTGAACTAACTGAGTGAACTGATTGAGTTTTCCACTGCGAAAGGCTCCGTATTCTGTCTGGAAACTACGTGAACATTCTGAACTCTATAGACAGAATGCTCTGTTTTATAGACGGACTGACACAGCACAACTAAAAAAGACATAACGACATTCTGTTGCGGAGAAAAGTACGATCAGGCTTCCAATACAGCTTCCTCGGTGACCCATAAGGCGTATCGTGGCTGATTCCCATCACGCCCTTCCCTTGACTGTGGCTTCAACCGGGTTACCAATCCAGCTGAACGAACCGAGTTCGAGTCACCGAGACAGAGCAATATTTTGATGCCATTGGCGGCGTCGGCATCGCATATTTCGCGGGATTAGTTATCACCGTAGTTAAGTCCCGTCAGCACCGACAGTCCGAGGTACGGGAAAGAAAAGTGACTAGAGACAATTACAGAGCGACGATCTGAATGCTCGACTCAAGACATGTGTTCTTCTTGCCGCCACCAACATTGTGCAAGAAAACAACTGCTGACTGATGGAAACATCACAAGACTCTATTGCGTCAGACTGCGACTGAAACGAGGGAATTCTGGGCGTCGAGTTCTACGAGCGGCAGAGTTCGGCTAACAAATGTTTGCGATGCGACTGGCAATACCATATAAAGCACCCGATGAAAAACAAACGGCTGCCGAGTCTCCATGCACTCCAACACCATTCGGGGGGCATGGAAGGACGGCGCAGGAGGGTCACCCATTGAAATTTGTCAGTACGCTCGAGAAATGGTATTTTAGTCAGTAAATACTGGTAACTAGTTAGTTATAAGACTGGACTACACCTATGTGGCGTCGCAGGGTTCAATCCTTGCATCCTGACTGTAAATTGCAATGGACAGTACGAAGTAAGGTAGGTCATGATCGATAGTCTTATCGATAGCCCACCACCAATACTCGATCCCTAATAGTATCCGGCAGTGGTCGGTTTCGAAGAATCGGTGAGCTCCTTGCGAGATGTGGCTTCGTGATGATGGGGTGACCTGACATTCGGATTTGAAATATATATGTAACGCCAGTACCTCCAGCTACGCACTGGAATTCTGGAAAGCCCTGCAGAAAATCAGTTCGTATCTCAGAACCTTACCCACTCGTATGCTAGAATCATAATTAGTAGATCCTGTAAGGTAACGGGCTCTAGTGGCATGGCCAGCAATGTGTGCCGTCTTTCTGATACTTATACCTTCCACATTTCTCCGGCGATAGCGATTTGTCTTCACCAGGGGATGATGGCGGTCCATTGGACACCAGTATCGCGGATTTCGTATGCAACATCTATACTGTCCTATACCAGTCAATTATCCGCTACTCGATCAAATTATTAAATTCTCCAAATCCTCTTCTTTTGATTTTCTCTTGTAGCCCCGAATTCGAGAGGTACATAGGCACATGGGAAGGTGCTGGTATTCACTGGGCAGTGGTGTAATTCCTGAGCTGCGCTGCTCACTTCTCAGTGGTCTCGGACGGGAACGTATGTCCTGATATACATGTAAATTATTTAACGGCTCATTGTAAATTCAGGAGTACCTACATGTAGGAGGCCGTCAGATTTGATGTTAAGAGATATTGGGATGGATATTCCTTGTCTCGGTTTAGTTGGTCTGGCCAGACCGCCAGCTGAGGTCAGTGTTGGCTTGGACCCACTGAGCCCTGCCAGGGTTTCTCACACCCTGAGGGTCAACCTTCAACGTCCTGCGTAAATAATACATACATATGCCATGACTATCTGGTTTCATACCGAGAAATTGCATTTCAATCACTTCTAGAACAGACCTGCCTTCAAGTTTGCCACCTGGGCCATCATCCGAACGATCCTATGCGCCCTGGAGATCCTCAGCAATGTGAATCACCCTCTGCGCCCGGTTCCTTTAATCCGAGCAAACCGAACTGAACATCAGGACAACCTCATCATGGCGGCCTTCAAATTTACAGCCAACCCTATCCAGATCGCGAGCTATGTTGGAGGTGTCGCACTCTTCAGTATCTCCTTCCTCGTCTTCCTCAACTCGAGCATATCGTTCGTGATCACCGACCGGATTGGATTGAAGGATGGCGTCGGAGATGCGGTTGGCACACTGGGATTTGCAGATGAACTTGTCGCATTGGTCGCTTGTCCTATCTGGGGTGTTCTCAGCGATCGTATCGGCGTGAGGTTGGTGGCGGTAATCGGATATTTGATTGTCGGCCTCAGTTTGATGCTGCTGGTTCAAGCGACGAACATCTATCCACAGCTCTTGCTGGCACGGTTGTTCTTCAGCATTGGAGGTGCTGCAACGTACGAAACCACAATCGGAGTCAACGACATAGGCTAATTTTACCTCAGCGCAACGATGGTCACCGCAATTCTACCCGCCATGACTTATGAGAAACCCAATGATGGACGTACACAAGATACCTTCCCGTCAAATATGCGGTCACACCGTCATAGTGTAGCACCGTCGGTCTCTTCCGAACTCACCATTACCCCCGCTCGATACCGTACACAATCACCGTTGTTCGAAGAATCCTCGAATTCAAAGAATTCTCCAGCCGCTGCTGCATCCCAGCTGGCTGGAGTGGTGGGGATGTTCACCGGGCTAGGAGCGCTGATTGCGCTGCTGATATTCCTTCCTCTACCTGCGACGTTCCAGAACCGAGGAGACGCCCCCAGTGATGCTGTTGCGAAAAGCTTCTACGTTGTCGGAACCATTTCCTTTGTGGTTGCGGCCTTCTGTTTCCTAGGACTGCGAGATCTCCCTGGCGAGGACGGAAAAGGCTGGCACCATGTTGGATCTTATCTCCACCAATTCAAGTCAAACCCCGACGTTGGATATGAGGAGTTAACACCGGACCTCCCACCTTATCACCGACTTCTCTACAGAGCGTTCGTGCTCGGCTTCAAAGACGTTAACATCGGACTCGGATACCTCGGCGGATTCGTTGCGAGGGCGTCATCCGTTGCAATATCCCTCTTCATTCCTGTCTTCGTCAATGCCTATTTCATCTCGTCTGGATTGTGCTCCGGTGACTCAGGGTCGGACATCAGGCATCAGTGCAACCGAGCCTACAAAGTAGCTGCAGCACTTTCTGGCGCCAGTCAACTTGTCGCGCTTCTCTGCGCGCCAGTGTATGGATATCTCTCCAGCAAGTACGTTCGTTTCAATGAACCTCTCCTGTTGGCGGCTATCTCGGGAATCGCGGGGTACCTGTCGTTCGGCCTTGTCAGGAACCCCGATTACAATGGCGAGGATGGAAGCGTGGGCGTCTTCTTTATTGTTGCGCTATTGGGAATCTCGCAGATTGGAGCAATCGTGTGCAGTCTTGGGCTCCTTGCACGCGGTATCCAAACTTCAGAGCCTCAAGTTAGGAAGACAGCAAATGGCGAAGCCGGCGACGGTCATTCTGTGGGAGGATCGGACAGTATGAGCAGCACACGAGTCGTGTCGCCATCTATCACTTCTAATGGGCTGAGGAATCCATTAGATGAGACCGGTTTGGAAACAACAGACGGCACCATAGAAACGCAACCACTTCTTTCAAACCCCCCTCCCGAAACATCCACAAGCGAAGATAGGAGGCAACTCAAAGGATCAATAGCAGGGATCTATTCTCTGGCTGGCGGCGCAGGCATTCTTCTACTCACCAAGGTCGGTGGTGTGCTGTTCGATAAGTGGGATAGAGGAGCGCCATTCTTCTTGATGGCGATCTTCAATGGCATTTTGTTCTGCCTTACCACGGGCTACGCCTTCATGGAGTTTGTCCGGCCAATGGCGCAGCGAAATATGGATTGAGGAGCAACGGAAGAAGGGTCCATTCGGCGCAAAAAACGAGTTTTCCACTTCCTCGGATTACCAGCATCAGCCAAAACAACATGGCGACAGGGAGACGGTGGAGTTGAAGGTTTATGATGATACGAGTTCATGTTTTTGCTTCTTCTGTAGCGTAAGATACCCCGTGTACTGTATACCACGGCATCCTCAACAATATACCACTTGGGTCTCATGATTCCGTTGCCATGTCTCCAATGCAATGAGCCAGCTTCGCAAAACGCCCGTATGCAAGATCAAAGCTCCTTCCTATCGCTTCCCTTTCTTCTTCTTCTTCCCACCACCACCGGTCCCGCCTCCGCCTGCTTTTGTATCCTTCTTCTCTGGCTGTGCCTGGGCAGCGGTCCCGGAGCGCTTCGCTGAAGGTTCCCCTCCAACATCTTCTATCCCAACATCGCCGCCGTCTGCTGCATCCTTCGTGGCCTCCCCTTCCTCTTCAACTGGCAAAGCTGCCATATGCCGACCCAGTCTGCCGGCAGCGGCGATCAGCCTCCCTACTTCGGGAGCTTTATTAGTCGTATATTTGAGGGATACTCCGGCGTCCGGGCTGTATGTTTTCAGGGTGAAGGAGGCTGTTGTCTGGGGTTCGGAGATGGTAGGTTTGGTGGGGTTCGGATCATTGGAACTTGAAACGGCCTCAGCTGCAGTCCCTTCGCTGGCACCATTTCCTTTGCTTTCAAGTCGTTCTAGTCGCCGAGCATGCTTCTTTAATCGCGACTTCGAAGGACGGATCACGGAGTACTTGGAGGCGACGTGGGTCTAGGGACGATGGGGTTAGTTATGGAGTTGCCCAGGAGCGGGTCCACGTACGGATGTCGGGTAGGCTTGGATTAGGAGCGCGGATTGCTCAAGCCATTCTTGGCTTGTTGAGAAGGTAGGCATATTTTCGTTATGGTATCCAAACGTCAGAGGCGTTGGTGCATGTTCGACTTCCTGGTTGACGGTTGTATCGTTAATATTTGGGGCTCGTGGGAGTGGCACGGGTAAACTTACCTTGGCCAGGCAGGTCCTGAATCAGCAAGTTTTGCCGAATATATCCCATGTCTTAGTAAGTCATAGGTCGAGGGTCCTGGTCGAAGATGGGAGGCCCGCCTCTATTGATCTCTCTTTGTGCCAAGGCATACATATGTAGGCTACTAAAAGAATTAGTGTCAATTTAAAGGCCCTTTTCAGCCAGTCATAGCTGTTTACATTATTAAAATAATGTACTAAATCACTAAAGTATTTTATTATCCAATAATTCAAAGTAATCAAAGCGATTCCCAAATTCACCCTCCTGGCCCTATCTTAGTAAGACGTACCTCTAGCCTCTAGGGCCCCCAAGATCCCGATGCGCATTAGCCACTCACTCTGTCACTCATGATTTGTATGACAATCTCAACTCAACTCAACTCACTCATGATATGGTCTCTACCAAAGCTTTAAGCTGCTAAGTGGAGTGAATTCTGCGTCCGGGCTCCCCGTACAGCTAATGATTCTCTAGCAATGTGGGACACTCTCACTAGATATTTATTTTCCCATACACTTTTGCCACCAAAGGAAACATTTCTCAATCGCAATCTGCATCAGCCAGATCGTAGAGGGTAGAAAATTGATGGTCCGAAAGCATATCCCTAGGGGTCGAAAGCTCAGCCAGTGCCTGCAGTTATCATACATCTTACCTTTCTAAAGATATAATGAGGATTCCCTTGTATACTCCTTTCAGTTTATTAGGTCGATTCGGTTCTCATTTCGCATAGGATTGAGGACGCCAAAGGCGACGGACCATCAATGCCATCCCTGATGGGTCACTCATAAAGCTTCATTCACAGGTATTGTCTTCGTTATGAACCTGGTGATTCTTATAGAGGTTGATTTCTGTTACATCAAACCCTCCGTTCCTATAAGCTATGCTGCAAGACCTATGTTACAGTCGAATGGCTATTTGAACATGCCAATTCCCTCGGGGGATGCAGATTCATTGGTAAAAAGAACAAAAGGAAAAATAACTCCAGACCTCTGTCATGTTATCGCAAGGAGTCCTTCCTAATGAAATTCCTACCTATCCTCCTCAAAAATAGGTGCCGCATGCTAAGAAAAGCGCATTGGAGAAATCAAGAAAAAGGGTTCCGTGCTGAAGAAGAGTGAGTCAATGAAACCGATATTCTCGCCCATTGAACGTAGAATGCTCTTGAGACAGGAAAGGGTTGAAGAAAGTTGAAAATATTCCACGAAACCAGAACTCCATCTTCCATGAGGAAAAGTCAACGCCATTGGTCATGGTCATGAACATCGGAATCCGTTAAGAAGAAGGAAACCCCACCTTCCCAGGACAATTCGTAAAACACATCATAAACCTCCACATTTTCATCCCTTTCTTTCCACGCCTGCCACTTTCCCCGTCCGGCTCTCCAACCAACCTCCCAACAACCCATCCAGCGTCTTCCCCATCTTATCCAGATCCCCTCGCTCCTGGTCGAACAGGCCTGCCATGATCGGATGCTCAGGGCCGACGGGGACGACGCCGTTGAGGTCGTGGACCACGAGTAGCAAGTCGCGAACGGGCGCGGGATCATCGAGGAAGGCTCGCAGGTGCGCAGCGGAGAAGGGGGGCGTAACGGGTCGGGGAGGTGCGGAGGGGATCGAAGAATGCTGGAATGCTGAGTCGTGTTGGGCTGCATGCATGTCTTTTTGTTGATAATCGGGGGTCGCCTGGGAGGGGAAAGCACCAGGAACAGCACTGGGAGTCGGAGTCATGCTTGGGGATGGGGAGAATGGAGATGAGACTGCTAGATCGAGGGCCGCTTGTGGCGTTGGAGGTGGACGCGTCGGCGGAGGAGGGAAGCTTTGGCTTGTGGCAGCGCCATTCGCGTCGAGAGAAGAAATATCATGCATGGATGGCGATGACCCAAGCGAGTCGTTTTCTTCCTGACTTGACGTGTCCCCTACGAGAGCGGGGGGCTGCGACAAGTCGCCATTATGATCGTCCACAGGAGATATCTGCACAGGCGATTCGGAAAGTCGCTCGGCGATCTCTCCTCCCCCAGTGTTTAGCACTTCCTGTCGTTGCGGAGCACCGGAGTTCACATGCATGTCTGTCGGCTGCTCAATCTCATCTAGAGACGAGTCGAAATCGTCCAATTCCATCCTTGTCTGCGCCGGCTTGACACGAATAGGCTTAGATGAGTTGGAGGATTGTACGTTGTGAGCCTTTGCATTCTCCAGACTGTCGACAGGCCTGAGCCGCAGATTCAGTTTTTCGTCTCGGTTTGCGTCTGTGTCTGGTTCAATGAGTCTCATCGTCTGCTGCGCGCCGTTGGATGATACGACAGGCGAATGTGGCTGTGGAGATGTGCCTTCGGGTGAACGATCCGCAGACTGAGCTCCAAACGGAGATAGATCGCCTGGACGAGGCTTTTGCAGCTTGCCACGACTCCCACTGCGCTGGAGCCGATCGCCATCGGCAGGTTGTACGGTACCGCCGCGTTCGGTTGGCGAGAGTTCTTCAGAGACCCTAGCCGAGCCCCGAATGTACTCCTCGGACGATTTCTCGTAGGACACCTTTTCGTCTGAGCCATCCGAGTCCGCAGGCTTGCCTTTCTTGTCTTTGCGCTTGAAGAGTCCGCTGAGCATTCCTTTCTTTTCCTTCTTTTTCTTGTCCTCTTTAGCTTTGTCCGGCTGGAGGTTCTTTTCGATGCTATCGAAACTAGTACCGCGTTCTCTAAATTCAGCAGGGCCCCTGTCTGCATCCCTGAGCAGATTCGGGGTGAGGGTGATTTTCTTGGTCTCCACGGTATTGTCCTTGAAAAACGAGTCCGTGTTGCGGATTGTGCCGTTTCTGGATTTTCCAGGCCCAGAGTCTATGTTCAGTTAGTACGGGATATTGGTAGAGGAATTTGAAGCACTCACATTGCCGGTCAAAAATCTCGTCGCTTGTCCTCGCGCTATCCACGTCCTTCCTTCTCTCCTCATCTGCGTTGTCAGAATCTATATTCTGCAGATTCTCGGTCGAGGTCTCCTTTGAAGCTGATTTCACATTTAATGGAGCGATATGCGAAACATCTCCTCGATCTGGTTCGTCAATCAACTCATCAGACTCTTTGGTCATGATGCCATGGGCACCGGCCAGTTCTCCCAGTTCATCGTCCTCCTCCTCGTCGCTGCTGCTGTATTCATAGTCGGACGCGTCGAAATACGTGGCCTGCGGAGTGCTGAATTGGACAGTTTTTGCGTTCCGCCTGCGGATAGCTTTCTTTAACGGGTTTTTGGATTTCTCCGTATTGTCACTGAGCATGGTGGCGGCGAGCTGATGGAGGGGCCATGTGAGCTACAGATTTCACACTAAGCACAAACGGATTTTCCAAGACTTACATCAATGTTCCGATGCTTATTGAGGCGAGCTAGCCTCTCGGTAGGTGTTTCAATGTGCTCGGCCGGAAGGTATCCTGTACGGAAAGAATATGACACGTTAAATCGTACCTACAGAATTAGACGCCCTGGAAGGGACGTGACCTACCTATCGAGTTATCCTTGACTACCCTCACCAACCACCAGTAGCTATTGCTATCGTCAAGCAATACCATGGTGTCACCTTTCGTTGCATTGGCCTGGCCTTCGACGGTCGCAACAAATGTATGGAGGGCGTATACGAACTCGAAATCGATATCCTCTGAACCATGTAAGCTGTCGACGCTCTGAGATGCGTGTCCGTCCTGGATTTGGGCTTGCGGATTTCCAGAAGAAACTAGACTAGGACTTGAACGAAATATGAGCAGTGGAGTTGCGGGGTCATCATCATCGTGGCTGTCCATGGCGGTTTCAAAACTGTTGACCGATCCCTCACTGGCGGTCTCCCAGGTTTCATCGGCCGGCTCAGGCGAATATGGGCGGTCCACGGTTGGAACGAGCAGGTCTCTGCTATCCTCGGGGAGAAGGGGGTCCATACTAGGGAGCAAGAAGTGAGAGAATGACACTTCTCGTTCCACAAAGCGAGCGGCGGGAGCATCTGTGCTGTTAGCAGTGACAGGTCCTTTGTGGGTTGGGAGTGGCAGTGAATCCCGTTTCCTTAGCGGCGGTATCGGCAACGGCCGCGGTGCCTTGCAGATTCCAGTGGGTAGTCTTACCCGGACCTTCGGTAACGTTGCGGAGTCTTCGCGCGGGATGTCGCGTGGGTGCCTCGATGCCATATTGGACGGATACTCACCCTGATGATGATAACTACCAAAGGGAGTAGGTGGACGGACTTTGAGAGCGAAAGGAATTTGTTGCGACGTAGACGCAGACGGCGAAAAGAAATCGAAGTTGGAAGAGGTATCCATAGGACTGTCCAATTGGCCATCCTTGGATTCCAATGGAAGATAATCTGGAGTTGATACGTAGGGCGAAGATGAAGCGGGTGTTGAGCTAGGACTAACGGAACTAGGGGTTGAGTTGAAAACAGGAGAAGGAGACGCGGTAGACGGTGTGGAAGGATCCGGCAAATTCCTGGTTGGTGTAGAGAACGGAGGAAGAGAAGAACTGCGGAGAGGCCATTGCGAAGGGGTAGTGGAACGGGTATACCCACCATCGTCGATTGAAGGGGAGCTGGAGATTTTGTCCATCATATCATCATCCATCCCATCGTCTGCATCCGCATCCCCCGGTTCTTCCTCATGCGACCCACTGTGGCCTCCGTTTTGTTGGATTGCTGAGTCGTCTCTCTGATATACCTGGTGTTGATCATGCACGCCGTTCTCGAACAGCACGTGCTCGTCGTCCGATGGCGGTTCATTGTGCAAATTACCATCGGTAGGATTCCAAGCGTGGGATAACTGTTCCTCCTCGGAATGCCGTTCTTCTTGCATGTGGCGGACCGCAGCCGCCTGATGCGGAGCAGTCTGGCCAATTCCTTGCGATGCAGGATTCTGCGCTTGTCGAGAGTGGTCTTGCGCAGATGGGAAAATATGGTCTTGTAGGTCGATCGTGTCTTTGACGTATGCGATTAGCAGGGATATTCGATTGAGCGAATCGGTCGGAGATGATATGCTGGGCATTGAAAGAGGGGAACAGCATTGTCGGAATATAGAGGAAACAGTCAAAATCTCTTACCAGCTCTGATAATGTGCGGGCGCGTCATTATGAATGGAGAGTCGCCTGCGGACTCCGGGGCAGACAAGTGTTATGGCGGCTGAAACAAAGAACAGGCATGTGCCGCCGGTGGAGATAGGCTCGGTCGGTTGTCGAGTGAGTGATGCGATATTGGAAACGTTGGATTTGTTCGAAGGCTATCGCGGTCGTAGAGTATGTACCTCAGGTTGTGGACGGGGATGTGTTGCACATATGGCGCTCGGGTCGCAAGTTGAAGGGAGGAAGGGAGTAGAAATGTAAAGGAGTCCGAGAGCGAACGACAGTTCCAGCGAATGCGCGGGAACGATAGACAGAATTGGGAGCGGAGAGCAAGGCGCTGTTACAACAGACGCAACATTCGACTCTCCAACTGTTTACAAAGTGATAGGCGAAGAAAGTTGGGGTGATGATAATAGGAGGAGGTGAGGTTTCGAGGCTGGTCCAAGTGTCAGAGGAAAGGGGCACGGTTCACACTTGCCTCCACTCAGCCAGACGTCTCAAAGAATTTCTGCGGGGAGAGCGGAGCCGAGTTGGTCGGGGATGGAAAAACAATGTGAGCGAACACGATACGCCGGGGAAATTTTCCGGGCAACGGGGTAAGGGAGTGAGTACTATGGAAGAAGAAGTAACGAAAAGTTAGAGCATTTGGAAGACACTCAATCAGCTAGATAAAGAGTGTGGTGTTGGTGGTGTTGGTGGTGTTGTTGGTTGTGTGGTCATTGTGGTGGTGGTTGGAAGTTGGAAGAGGAGGAGAGGCGAGATTAAAGTTTGGCGGAAAGTTGGTTTGGACCTGAGTTAGTACGGCTAGGTCTAAGAAGGACAGGCTGATACACTAAATCTCTTAAGCTAATTAATGACGATCAGCGATGAACCAAGATGATGAAATGTGGGTGTACTAGTTGAAACTTAAATTCAGACTTCTGTTCATCTGCTAGCGAAGAGATGGAGAATCAATCAATCCGTTCAATCGTGAGAGTGACATAAAGATTGCCAGGATACTCCGTACTGGTCCAATAATGACTCCAATCTCCAATCTGAGACGCGCCCTTGCAGAGTAAAAGCTAAGTAAAAAGCCCCTCCTCCCCAACTTCATACTACGTATCTGTGAAGTCGTCCAAAATAAAGAGTTCTTACAAAAGTAACTCTGTTGGGATCTTCCTGACTCAGCTGATGGAGATGCCCCAGAGCCTCACTTGGGTGGTTTCTTTCCCTGATTCCATTCTGATGAGAGACATTCGGTTGTGATGTTAGCTAATCGTTTCCATCTCTAGTGGAACACCGATGTCGCTCTTGATCGTCAGTATACCGGTATCGTATGCATTCTGAAGCTGGAGGGAGAAGCTCCAGGTGCACTGCTCTACTCTTTCCACTACATAATCAGTCTTATACATCGCTTACAATCCGACAGTGGCATCGTTATTGTAATTCATATACATGTCCTGTTTTTCAACACCATTAGTTCACTATATTGGGTTGCTGTGTCCGCTAAATTAGCATCGACGACCGACGGCACTGAGCCGCATGACAACGTTGAGCAACGTCCCCTCCCTCTGAGTCACACCATCCATCTTGCCAGTCCATACACAAAATCGCCATCCTCCTCCCATTGCAATCTTCACTATTTCCGGATTCAGGCCTGTTTCAACTCATCCGTTGTCGTGTGACCTTCTCGAATCGTCGGATTGTGTTCATCAAGGCCGTGGAACGACTGATGATACCGATTCGGAACTGCCTTGTGCTGCGACCCTATAGATCGGCCTCCTTCTTGAACATCAAGCGGTTACTTGGGGGAATGTACACTTCGAAGCAGAATCTGCCCCATGAAGAACGGACGGCTAGTGAGCCTCGGGGTTCCGATCTGCATACCGTGAAAATCCGGTCGGTAAAGCAAGTAAATCAAGATATACGCGTGTTCAAGTTGGGGATTGAGAGCGGTCCCGGAATCCAGGTGTGATCATTGTCCCTGGATTTCTTTCCTCTTTGGAGAGTGCTTACTGATTTGGTGTCAGTTCCGCCCTGGGCAATGGCTGGACGTTCATGTCCCATCTGTCCCGAAAGCTGGCGGCTTCACCATCACCTCACCCCCTGAAGCGGCCCTACCACCCGAGGATGTGAGCGAGGATAGACGAAAGACTCTGACAGACTTGATCGAGAACGACCATGCCGGTCCGTACCTGGAGCTTGCCATCCAGTATTCGTCAGAGAATCCTCCTGTAGACTGGCTGTGGCAGCCGCCCGATATCCTCATGCATCAGAACTTGAACGTTCGCGTTGGTGGAAGCTTCGTATGGCCGCCGGCTGAGATTCCTCCAGAAACGATTGAAGGCGCGATTTTCGTCGCTGGCGGTGTTGGTATCAAGTACGCTCACTCCAAGACATCCAGAACCCGCGAAGCACAATCAATGCTGCGATCCATCTGACCCCTTATAGTCCGCTCATCTCCATGCTCACCCACCTCTCCATATCCGGCCCGTTCCCTCGAAAAGTCCACATTATCTACAGCACCAAATGTGAGCCCCTTATCTCTCCACCGGAGATCCTCTTCCTCCCGCGCCTCATCGCGCTTGCAGACCGCCATCCGTCCGATCTCTACCTCCAGCTGCATGTCACCAGCATCGAGCGCGCTAAGTCATCCGTCGAAAAGTTGTGGGCGTGTGATCATCTTCGATTACAGTTCGGTCGAGTGAAGCGGGTGGCGATTGCGAACGTGGTGGAAGGTTGGAGAAGGGAGGAGGTGAGCCCGAAGCGCTCGGTCGGTTATGTGTGTGGGCCACCAGCGATGACGGATAAAATGGTTAAATGTTTGAAAGACATGGGATTACCAAAAGAACGGGTGTTCTGTGAGAAGTGGTGGTGATGACTGCCAGTGCATTCCAGTCTCTTTGGATTAATTCTTAGCGCACATCACATGAAAGGAACCCTCGCACTCATTCTATCTGCTAGACAGCAAATGGACAATCAGACGAATTTTCCCTCATGACTGCAGCATTTGAACCCATCTCTCATTCATTGGTTTCCTTTTCACGTCCAACCACATGGCCTACACTCTAAATTCACTCCACCACGTCGACCGATCCACCAACATCCCCCTGGCGTCGAATTTCACCCCCTCCCCCTCCAGCAGCCCCAGCTTTTTCTCGCAGTTAACTCCACTCGGCGCTTTCTGCCAGTCGCCCTGGAATCCGCCGATGTACTGTCTCACACCCATATCATCAGCCTTTATGGGCAGGAATCACCGACCCTGGGGACCCAGGGACACTTACACCAGTGCTCGCGATGCAGCGATGGCAGGGCACTTCGGGCGCAAACGGGTTGTTCCTCAACGCTCCGCCGACTGCCCGTGGCGAGCTGCCTAATGCCTTCGCCATTGCAGCGTACGAGGTGATTTTGCCTTCAGGGATCTGTTGGAGAAGGGCGTAGACGCGGGTTTGGAACTCGGTGACTTGCTTGGACATGATGTTTGCGAGGGTGTCTCGAATGAACGGGTGAGCTATTGCAATGACTTGGAATAAAACAGTGGTTTAATTAGGGCTTGGCTGTTGGATTCATGAAATGTTCACTTTCTATCTTTCGAAAAGGATTGTCCCGAGACGCGTCCAGACCGCGCCTTATGAACACGAGAATGACTCGATGTCACATGTGGAGGATGCTTTCAAATTGACCAATTACACTGACACGGGGTACAGCAGGAAATTTCCCCAGAAATACCTACAGCGGAAGGTCGAGTATTCTGCACCCTGTATTATTGGAATTTAAATGATGAGGTTATTGAACATGGTTATGATGGTCCCGTGTAGAGACAGCGATGTTAAATGAGCAGTTCACAAGGTGCGGTCGTAAAAGGGGGCTGGGAAACTTGAGGCTGAATCGCTGGTCTCTGCAGAAAAATGATGCCTCAGGCACAAAGGCATCGGTTTGTTCCGCCGCCTAGCCTGGTACCGTCTGGTTGCTATCGATGACAGTCGGAGTTTTGGCGGCTCGAAACTTCCAGGCTTCAACTGACGTTGTTCCTGCAATCAAGCTGGTTATACATCAACCGCCACAATGTTAACCCGCGCTCCAAGATCTCTTCGGCAGTTACGGCTGCCCGTGCGAGAAACTTTACAGTATCGGTCCATCTCAAGCAGTCAACAGACTTTCGCCAGCGTGGAAGCGGAGGAAAAGGTTCGCCATTTGGTACCACCATCCGCCTTGCTTGCGCTAACTGTCGCGTCGTAGGATCCCGTGGAGTTAGACACCATCACTACCTTGAGCAATGGGGTGCGTGTCGCGACCGAAGCCCTTCCAGGCCACTTCTCCGGCATTGGCGTGTACGTCGATGCTGGCTCTCGGTACGAGAGCGATGCGCTGCGCGGCGTCAGCCATATCATCGACCGGCTAGCCTTCAAATCTACCGCCGGCAGCTCGGCGGATAAGATGCTGGAGTCAATAGAGACTCTTGGAGGTAATATCCAATGCGCCTCTTCCCGGGAGTCCCTCATGTACCAATCCGCCACCTTCAATTCCGCCGTACCGAGCACCGTTGCCCTCCTTGCCGAAACCATCCGCGATCCCTTGGTGACGGAGGAAGAAGTCGAACAACAACTGGCAACTGCCGATTATGAGATTGGAGAGATCTGGTCGAAACCGGAGCTGATTCTTCCCGAGCTGGTGCACATGGCCGCATTCAAAGACAATACCCTAGGAAATCCTCTCCTGTGCCCAAAGGAACGCCTGACCGAGATTGACCGGTCCGTTGTCGATGCTTACAGAAGGATATTATACAAGCCTGAAAGGATGGTGGTTGCATTTGCGGGCGTGGATCATAGCACGGCCGTCAAGTTGACGGAGCAATATTTCGGCGATATGAAGCAAGGCGCTGGTCTATCACTCCCGGAACTCACCCCGGAACTCCTTGCGCAATCGCAGGACTCATCGATGTCGGACGATAGCTCGAGCATCTCCTCGACCTCTTCATCCTCCTACGCCTCTCAAGATCCTACCCGCCTGGCGAACAAAATCCCTTTCATAAAGAACCTTTCCACATCTGCCGCCGCCCAAGCATCCGTACAATCATACCTCCCCGATCTCTCTCGATCTACACCTCTAGAGCTACCATCCGTATATACCGGCGGCTTCCTATCTCTCCCGCCCCTCCCTGCGCCCGCCAATCCCTCACACCCTGCCCTTACCCACATCCATCTTGCTTTCGAAGCGCTTCCGATCACCCACCCAGACATCTACGCGCTTGCCACGCTCCAAACCCTCCTCGGCGGCGGCGGATCTTTCTCGGCCGGCGGCCCCGGAAAAGGCATGTACAGCCGCCTATACACGAACGTCCTCAACCAGCACGCGTGGGTGGAGTCCTGCGTCGCCTTCAACCATTCGTACACCGACTCCGGCCTCTTCGGACTGGCTTCCTCGTGCTCTCCCGACCACGTCATCCCGATGCTGGAAGTCATGTGCCGCGAGATCTCGGCGCTGACCGGGGAGAGCGTCGCGCCATCCAGCCAGGGCGTCCCGCGCGGGTTGGTCGGGAGGAGCCGACAGCTGTCGCAAGGGGAGGTCGACCGGGCGAAGAACCAGCTGCGGAGTAGCCTGCTGATGAACCTCGAAAGTCGCATGGTCGAGTTGGAGGATCTGGGAAGGCAGGTGCAGGTGCATGGACGAAAGGTGGGCGTCAAGGAGATGTGTCGGCATATCGAAGAGGTGACCATGGAGGACTTGCAACGAGTCGCGAGGATGGTGTTCCGAGGGGAGGTGAAGAACAAGGGGAAGGGAAGCGGTGCGCCGACTGTGGTGTTGCAGGAGAGTGAGGAGGTGTCATTACCGGGCGGTTTGGTGGGTTTGGGACGGCGGAAACCCAAGGCGAGCCTTGGGTGGGGAGAGATTCAGGAGCGAATAGAGAACTGGAAGCTAGGCAGGAGGTAGGACCTGTTCGCAGGACTGTTTTTCGTATACTGTGCAGAGTGTTATGGTTCTCAGCTCTTGAGGCGGATTGTATAGAGTACTGGGCCTAGTATCTGGCCAAAAGCAAGGTAAAGGCATAGCAACGTTCATGTCAAGCCAAAGATGTACGATAGGTGGATAGGACATGTACCAGGAACAAGGATTTATTCCAGCATAATTCAAATGGACTCATGCCCCATTATAGTCTAACTGTACATTTCGGACTTCACAATCCAGGCGCCATGCAATGCGGGTGTACGAAATAGAGCAAACCAACGTTGTAACACACATCAACCATCACAATCAACCGAGGCGGATCTTAGTCGGTCTTCCCTGTGAGTCGCTTCGACTCGTCACCATGTCCCTCATCGTCCTCATCATCCGACCACTTATCCTCATCACCCACAGCAAATATCGTCTCACCATCCAGCGACTCCCGAGGCAGTGTGGCCGGTCGCTGAGGCTTTGGCGCCGGCAATGGGGACCTGGAGCGATCTACTGACGCACCGGCCGGTGTGGATCGAAGGCCCTCAAACTGCTGACCGGTTGACTCATTGTGCGAGTATCCTCCGTCCTCCTCGTCCAAGGAAGAGCGCATAGACGCGATTTCGAAGCCCTCGTCATCTTGGGCGATCTGGATGGCAAGTTAGTGAATGCGATAGGCTTTGAAGGGTGTTGGGATACTAACCTCGTCGCTCATGGCGAAACGGCGGTTGTTCGCCGTTGGTCGCCATAGATATGAGATGAACGCCACAACAGCGAAGTAAACAATGTTGAGCCACCCATCCAATATGAACCAGCGGCTCCTCCAATGGGACGGGGCGAAATCGTCGTCGCCATAGCCGGCAAAAGTGAAGGAATTGAAGAAAAAGAATCCAAAGATGACCAAAATGGTGGTTAGGATGCAGTACCATAGGTTCTTATACATGGAAGCCTTGACGTGCTGCTTCCGAGCGATAAGATCCTTGATCGTCATGTTGAGAGAGTTCAGCGTCCAGATGTAGAATGCGGTGAGCGTTGCGGACAGCGGCAAGATGACCAGAAGAACGAGAGGCCCGGCATTCTCCGGGTGGATCGTCAGACTCGCAACCGCATATATGACACCGAAGAGGAAATGTGCGGCAGCGAGCCATCGAACATACACCATATTCTTGCCCAGACTAGGCTTGACCACTCCATAGCCCATGCATACGATTAGCAGGAGGAAGAAGGAGAACGAGTTCCGACCAGCGTTGAGCACCGAAACGATGACGAGCAGTGCTCTCGAGCCCGCGTTCGTCCCATGTCGGTTCGTGTAGTCGTAGAAGCCCCAGGTCATGAGCATTTCGACCACCAGGAATACCAGAATTGCGGTGATGTAGTTCTGCACCGGGAGGATATCATGCCGGTTCTGAACATATAGGAACGCCCAGAATATGACCATGACTGCATAGGCGATGGTCAGACCACCATAGAAGGGGAGCTTCGGGATTTGCGCCGCGGCCAGCTCTCCGTATGCGTTCCGGAATTCGACGATCGCCGTGTATTCGGGACTCTCGGACCAAGTTCCCACGCAGTAGTAGCCGGTTTTTGTGACCGGATATCGGATCGCCGGAGGGTCTTTCAGATCGATGGCTTGGGTGAGGATTTGGTTCTTCGATACATCCTGCGCATCGTCTGCGAGGATGAACTCGCCGAGATGAGTTTCGTTGCAAAGTCCCGACGTAACGGCGGTAGGGCTGCATATATAATCTCTCTGATGTAAAAATTAGTTAAGCGTAACTAGGGCACGATATCGACACAACGTACCATAGCGGATGGATCGTCCGATACTTGCTTCCCAATCAATGGCTTGTCCTTCCACTCAAACAGAACAAGGCTGATAAGTAGATTCTCAATACTCCCCTCTTCCGGCGGGATGAACTTTACGAGAACAAATGGATCGACTGCTCCGCTCCATGAGCTCTTTGAATACATGCCAGCGCATTTCTGAGATTCATTCTGGTCCTACGACTTCGTCAATTTCGAAGGGCTCGGATTGCTACGGATGCCGAACAAACCAATTTAACCTCAGCGGCGGTTGCTATTAAGGCCGTAGCAAGTAACAACCCCGACGTTCGCATCCACCACCGCATGGTGCCAAAGAATAATATCTGTTAGCAAATAGCTTCATTCAGTCCTGCGAGGTGTCCCACAGGTCGGCTGAACTGGCTCGAGGGATGTTGACAGCTGCGCGGCGTCCGTAAATGATGGAACGGAGCTGTGATCGAGGAAGGTATGATAAATGGTGGGAGTTGGGATCGTCCAGATGCACCGATCCTAGGGTTGGATTTGAAGACAAATCAATGTCGCAGTTGAAACAGGTCGATCGTATCGTGAGCCCAGGCTGTGATATGCTGTGCATCCATGTGTTGATGTTGTCCTAGCAGCCTGAGGCGACAAGGCTCTTGGTCATATGGCGCTAACTCAACCTCAAAGTTCAAAATCTTAATACTGGGAGAGCACTAACTGTGATAAAGACGTCAATATTGTCCTCAGTTCAACAGCCTTTGGACTCTCGTTTATCTTGAGTCCCTTCTTCGGTGTGTACCCTGGACGAATCTGATAGTAACTCAGCCACTTTACATAACAAGCGGCATGGAAGGGGCGCCGGCGGTCCGTCAGACTGCGACGGGTCAAAATGAGGCGAACCGCGTATGCGTTCGATGCAAGGAGGCGGAGTCTGTCACCACAATCAGATCAGAGCCGCTGTGCAAGTATGCTTTATTTCCCTCAATTCTGCCTCATGTCTGATTGCTGATCTTTTCCTAGGGAATGCTTTAAGAAGTACATCCATACCAAAGTCGTCAAGCGGATGGAGACCTTCAGAGTGCGAAACGTGCCCTCGGATGGCCAGCGGAGACTGCTCCTTCCTTTGTCTCTAGGTATCTCATCGCTGACGCTGCTGCATGTATTGCATCTTCACCTTGCAAGGCAGAAGAATCGTACAGGTCAAACGGGGTTTGACCTAATTGTATTATGGATTGATCTGTCGCACTCGGGCACGCAATCTCGAGATCCCCTACTTGACGCGGCGAAGCGCATGTTCCCTCAACATACGTTCATCTCGTCGTCCATTACCGATGTTTGGACCTCGGTGTTGTCAAGTTTATATTCACAGGACACTCAACTGGGGCATGACGGCAATTTGCCATCGTTGCCCGAGTTTCTCAGCTCGCTCCCATCTGCAACATCTCGTGCAGATGTCTCCGAGCACTTCAAGAAACGCTTAGTCGTAAATATTGCAAAGCACAATAACTGCGAGGCGGTTTTGTGGGGGCATACAGCCACTCGGCTCGCCGAACAAACTCTCGCCGAGACGGCCAAAGGTCGCGGATTCTCATTATCTGGCCAAATTTCAGATGGGGATTCGGCACTGGGGATACCTTTTTACTACCCGCTTAGAGATCTATTTCGTAAAGAGCTCGTCGCCCACGCGGAGCTCGTAGAGGGTCAGCTCTGTGTCTTTCTTGGTCCGAACGACAAGAAGCAGGCAGTTTCGACGAGAGATTCAAGCATCGACGCCCTGATGACGTCTTATATTGATTCTGTCGAAAGAGGCTACCCTAGTATTGTGGCCAATGTGGTGCGCACAGCCGGGGAGAAGTTGACAAAGCGACCGCCACAATCAAGCAACGTTTGCGCGATTTGTTTACTCCCATATCACGACGACCTTGAGCCGACGGGCCAGTCGAATGGGAATACGAGTCAATTTCAACTCTGTTATGGATGTCGCCAGTCAGTGCCGCAGGGCTGTTTGACTGGACTGTTTGAAAAGCCATCGATATCGGACAAACGATGAAAGTGTTTGTCATTTCATTACTGCACATAATGCCTGCTTTTGAAACCGGCCGATCCTTGCGTTTCTTATCCTTTGCCTCGTCAATCCTGATTGCGGTTGATCTTTCCCGGCCTTTACAACGAGGCCGATTTTCTCGCGCATATCTCAAGTCATCAAGTCCTCCAATGTGAGGCTAAGTCCCAGAAGATCAAAGTCTTGCCGACCACCGTTGCGATTGCCCAAGTCGTTCCATCCAGCTGAGTCGGGCCCGTCAGGGCTCGTATTAATTCCAGCCTGTATCTCCACGGGTGGAACAAGCTGCTGGTCATCTGACCACAATGTGTCGGATTCAACAGAGCTGCCTTGAAACCCAACGATCAGAGAAAGAACATCGTTGCTCGACTCCGATCCAGAGCCTATCATGTCGAGGCTGTGTTCTGTGCCCAAGCCTCAGTCAGCATCCTCCGATTTCACCCGAAAGGCTAGATGGCCTCACCATTGGCCTCCATGAGCAGCAGATAGGACCAGTACCAGTCCAAGTTTGCTGTCCCATGGCACATTGCGGTGTTTGGTCCCGTCGAGATTTTGCTCCGTGCGCATCCCATGATGACCGGGATCGAGGAGAGTCATTCAATGTCGGCGTGAAAAAGGGGACTGTCGGGTTCGAACAGGAGACGTTTAAGTCTTAGAGCCATTTCTTGAGAACGGAAACGTATAGCTCCTTGAAGGGCGTCAGTGGGCTTCCGTGTTGTCTTATAGTCTATTCCTTTGAGAGATCCGCATCCGATGCGTCTGTCACCTGCACAATGCACGCGTGGGATGGCGAACGGAGGCATGGGAAAGATTCAATGGCGAATATCGTCTAGTCCGGTCGGGGACTTGATGGGGTAATGGGAGCTGCATCATGGATGGCCACCGTCAGTTACACGATTAACCGCCCCGCTGAGGTCCGCGGTATTCATCTCGGGTTCTGCAGCACCCCACGCTCTGGAGGACTTCCCAGTGGCCTGCATATTTCGAGCAGGAACAGAAATGCTGGCATTCGTCTGAACTTCCGGGGTCTTCTTAAAACAGTTCACGGGTGATGGATTCGTTAATACGCGGTGCCATCCAACCACAGGCTTCCAAACTATCCAGGCGGCAAATGGAGATGGAGCAAGCAAGCAATCCGATCCAGTCGCCAGTTTGGGACAGGGGACAGATACCATATACAGAATAGTTTCAATTATTCTGCCTCGTCCAGCAATTTCGGTTGAAGGCGGTGCCCAAGCTAGATAGACATTGGGCATGTTGCATACCATCATCCTCGTTTGACGATGATCTACATATAGCTCCGGAGCTGATGGATCGCAATGTTAGTTCCCGCCTCCACGTTCTGTGTTGGAGAAGCGGGGCTTGGCTTTCCCCCCACGCTTCAGGTCTTCACTACGACCGGCCTCATTTACGACTATTCGTCCGCGAAACCGCAAGGCTGAGGCGTGGGATGCGATGTTGCGGAAGAAGTCGGAGCCAGGAGGATCACGAGTCTGATCTGGCTCCGAGTCTTACATCGAGCGTTTTGATTGGCTCTCCAATGATTGGGTGTTAGAGTCGTTCGGTGCCTGACACTGTTCTGCTTCTGGACAAGCTGGATATGCCAATGACTGAAGATATAAACCGCCTTAGTGACATCCTCATGATCTATATGGACCATAGCACGAGCAAGTGGGCAGGGTCATTAATACCTGATTGGAGGATGAGATGGCGATCATGAGGATGTAATGATGATTAAGGTCGGTCGGAATCAAAGCAGGGACCGTCTTGCATGGTATTGGAGTTGACATTGATGATGGGCTGTCGCGTGGTCTGGAGTGGGTTATTAATGCACCGTGGATGCTTTCCTTTTTGTGCTTGTCAAACAAAATGGACTGATGGCCATGCCACTGATGCAAGCATCATTCTTTGCCTTTGGCTTTTGTGTTGAGAGACATGCGAACACTCCAGTAAACATCGTTGGTAGTTATACTAGGGGATGCGGTTATGCAGAGAAGCGTGGGATATGTGACTAGGGTCTTATTTGATGGGGGGATTTTGTGATGACCGGCAAATTTATCATGGGATGAATGCCGCAAACATGTATCAGGCGGCTCGTTATTAGTAGCCCGTTGAGCCGTCACCGGTTGGCTACGACATACTCTACGATTTATCCTGCAAAGGATTTAAATAGTAACAGCTGGATTTCATGGCTGAACCACGGTATAAGGAATCCCCATTGCGAATAACTCCGTACAGCGTCATATCTGAGACAGCAAGGACTAAAAGTAGGATGACTTTGAAGCCTCATTCTCTCCAGGACGCGGATATCTGTTGCAAACGGAAGGGTATTCCAACATATTCTATGCGTGATATACGAGCAGTCCCACTTCGAGCACATAAACACTGATGCTGCATTGGCGTGGGTATACTACTTAGGTCCAAAATCGGTGCAAATCAGTCCAACGACAAACATATACGCCAAATTATACATATCCCAGCTGCTATTATGCCTCACGGCCATATGGGATGTGTTCTTGGTAGGGAAAGGGTCGGTTAAGAATGCTCCTCGTGGATGATGCATCATAACCTAGTTACGCGAAAAGAATAGCCGCTCCAGTCCGCTTTTGTTCTGGTACCAAAGACCGGAGGTAAAAAATCCTGGTTCGCCTCGCCAAGGAACAGTCAATTTGATAATATGACACCGAACAGATAGGTCATATGGGCCAATTTGGGTGTCAATCGATGACCGTGTCTCGCGGCTTCCAATCCTTCTCGAACATCTGCGAGACATAGTAGAATTCATGGTCCGCAAGGTCATTGTCCCGAATATACGCGAAATCATCCTCTATAGACCCAAATAAGTTAGCAAAGCTCAGGGCATGAAATCATGCTTTTCGCCCCACCTCTCGCTTTTACAAGGTCTCGTGTCTGGAGAAGGAATTCTGCTTCCTCGGCGTTGAGAGTCGCCAGCCGAGTTCGATGACGGTTCTTCAAATCCAACGCTAGAGGGTCCATGCTGCCATTGCAATAATGGTAATGAGCAAGGATCACCATTGCACTGTGATGCCACGACGACACGAGATCAGGCAATGTGTATCGACTCTGCATTTGTGGATCATTAGTGCCATACAAGGTATCTTGTCTGTCATGCTTCGCTTACCTGGACGCCGTGCTTGCGGGCATGACGGTAACGGTCTGCGATCAAGAGAGAAAAATTGTGCAACAAAATAAAGGTACACAAATAGAAGGTTATGAAGGTTTCCGGTCGGTTATCTTTGATGATGTTCTGCAATTCTTCGAGAACCTTCTTCTTGTACGGTTTCAACAAGGCTTCTGTGAAGATAACATCAAATTGAGCGTTGACCACTGGTGGCGTGGGGACCTTTCCAGGGTGAGGGTACGATGGATCCTGGTGTGGCTCCAGTCCCAGAGCTTGCGGATTTTCGAAGTAGTCCGATCCAAGGGTGTGTTGGCTAACAAACCAGAGTCGTAGGAGATTGGTCATGAGTACCCTTTCCTTCTCGGTCTTCTATGTGTGAGCTGACAGCGTGGGAGAGCGGAGAACCGAGTGAGATCGCTTACCGGTGCATTCCTCAGATGAATTTTAGCTCTGTTATACGTCCTCACAATGAGGTTGTCCGAATGCTGCAGTCGATGGGTGATGCAGTCAAATGCGTGCTTGTCCGTATAGATTTTGAAGTCTTCCTTTACCACGTGCATATTCTCTACAGCCCATGCCGGCAAGCTGTAAGACTTGACGACTCCCCGCTCTTGGTCAAACCATGATCGAAACAATTTGTCGCCAGCTTGGGCGCGGAAAGGACGTAGCACGACTTGAAATCCGTCCTTGACAAGTTCCTGCGTATTGCGGAGCACGAGAGTTTGGGTGTCAGCAGATTCCCAGTCGGTGATTTCTCTGACTTTCATGTCTTGCCATCGGCTTGTGTAACCGAGCTTTCCAGCACGATACAGGATACATTCGGTGACCTTGTACCGTAGACACGGAATATGGTGGATCGTCTGCTTGGAATTATTTGAAACATTCCGGCAAGTCAAGCACTGACCCCCAGGATCTTCAGGGTCGGTCTCGCACTAGGTAGATGTGAGCAGCAATCGAGATTGGGATGCAGCCTCCTTACCCGGACACGCTGCTGTCGGCACCGCAAGCAAGCCTTCATCTTTCTTGTCAGCGAAGTTTGCTCGCGCTTGACAACGCTTTTAAATTTTCCTCGACGCTTGCGAACGAGCAGTTCTTGTTGAGGAGCTCTGGTCAGATGATGGCCTTCAGATAGGGGCTGGCGCAAAGCTGCATTGTGTGATTGTGGTGCAAAGGGCTGATGGGGTGACGTGTTTTGTTGGGTGATAAGATTGCCGTTCACTCCTGCGTGATGCAACGGGGTCGTCACTGCAGCGCTGAATCGTGGATCGAAATTCGGCGTATGGTCAGTGAACAGCTCCTTATGTTGATGATGCTGGTAATCCTGTTGGTGATGCTGGTGATCCTGCTGATGGTCCTGCTGGTGATCCTGCTGGTGATCTTGCTGGTGCTCCTGATGATGATGATGATGATGATGATGATGATGATGATAGAATGATGACGGATTTAATCCCACCCACGATTGGTCGTTTTCAGACAAGAATGGACGGGTCGTAGATACCTCGGGGGCAGAGTGCTCCAGTGCAGCATAAATATGCGGCTCGCCATTGATGAAGGAGAAGTAGCCGTCGTCGTTGAGAAGGGGGACGCCCGAATCCGGGGTGTCATCGGGTTGAAGGAAAGGAGTAGGTAGTTGGAATGAAACCTGTTGGAAGTAAGGAGATGACACAGCAAACCCACCTGGCGCTGTGGCTCCGTAGGGGGACAGCATGTTGTTGGCCGAGGCGGTGGATGATGTTCCAGACGTTCCAATGGAGAGGTGAAATCGCGGTGGTGTTTGCAGCTGATTCATGGACGAGTCCAAAACCCGGTTAGACGCAGTCTGAAATTGAACTAACCCCGCCTCGTCTAGCCCATTGTACGATGTTGCCTCGTAGGTTGCAGGGTTGCTGGTATAAGCATAGTATCCAGCATCTTGAACTGGACCACTTGATCCGTCTATAGGAGATTGATGTAACTCTGGATTCGTGCCACCGTTGACGGCGTCGGCTGATACCGTCCGTCCATGGACCGGCAAATGGCCACCACACAAGAGCTGATCGGCAGCTCTCGCATGCTGCGAAGTGTGGAAACACCAGAAAGGCGGTGACGGCGAGGCTGGGGAGAAGTAGCCATTGGGTCCTTTGCGTCTCTTACGGGGAGACAGAGGCTGCAGGTGGAGCGGATATGGGGGCGTTTCAACGGCAGTCTATAGGCAGGAAAACAATGTCGATTAGAGTGACAGGTCGACTTTGTTGGGAGGAGCATGAACGGGGCCTCGTTACCTCCATGGCCGGTCTCGCTCCGTTGAGGAGGCAAGCGGCAGCCTGACCAAGTGTTGACTGAGACGTTGTCCAGAGAACCGATCCCAAGCGTCAGCGTCAGAGCGGACAACGGACAGGACAGCCGGCCAAAGGGTTGAAGGGTTTGGCGGATTCGTAGGGTGATCACTGATCGGTTCAATCCAACGGAAGGCAGATTGGCAGATGAGTGGCAGAGATGATACAGCAGGGGGAAGTTGGATGGGCGCCTCCTCAAGCGTGAAACAAAATGCGTCGGATGGGATGGCATGTAATATTTGCAGACCGGGTGCAATACTACAATTAAACCAGTGTGCCGGAGACGACGTTAACTGCAGATTGGATGAGAGAGCGCGGTGCAACTGTGTAAGCCAGTCTTGGAGACTTGGAGGTGTCGTGATCGGGAACACATCGGGTCAATGCGCTGCCGTATCAGATATTCTCATATCCTCATCGGTTGGGTGGCTGCACATAAGTGCACAAACCTGTCATCTTCAAAGCTGCAGTTCTAGTCCAGAATCCCAGGTCGGTCCCTTGATCGATTCCTAGATAGTGTAGCGGGAGGCGCTCCGAGATGCGTAGATGGCTCAAGGCCCATGGGAAACATCAGACATGGTTGAGAGTTGGGACGTTTGATAGGTATAATGCCTGCAATCTGCAATCTGCCGCCATGATAAGTGCTGCGCCTGCTACTATGCGAGTCTGAGTTTGCCAGTCTGCCGATCTGCCAACAGCAGCAGCCTTGTGTCAATGTGTGTGATACTGGCGTCTGGCATTTAGTGACGCTGGTGCCCGGGGGACACACGGGAATACGATATCGTTAATAATCGTGTGCAGTGCTCTGCTCAGTGATCGCTCGATCGCTCGATCGCTCTTTCCGCCAATCCCATTCCCTCGTTTCCGCCTTGATCCCAAGGTGACCCCATGTGACCTCTCACCTCCCAGCCTCCCCTCTGCGCCATGGATTCCTGGATTCAATGTCAGGCTTGATCTATCATCTATCATCCATCATCCATGCACAGTTTGTTTGTGTCTTACCTCATTGGATCTGCAGTTTGCCCGTGATTTCCTTGTCGTTTGGATGTTCACCGGTTCGAGGCTTTGAGCCTTGGTCCTGGACACCTAAGGAATTGAGGCCTGTACTGTCGGGCCAAATCTCAATTGAGCGAGTAATGAGTGAGAGGGTGAGCAAGAGAGTTTGGTGCATCTGTACTCCGTACTCTGTAGGTCGTTGCCTCATTTGAGTCATTAGTCGTTGGGGAATTTGGCTAGGTACATAGTTGCTTCTTGCTACTGGCCAATCAGGGTACGGTCCGTTCCGCTGGGGTTTCGGTCCCACCGCTGCATCCAAATGATTTAAATGCCCAATCGAAATGTGAAATGTCCCGTCGATAAGTCGAAAAGTCGAAAAGTCGAAAAGTCCTAATGCTCCCCAATCACAGCCAGTGAGCCCTCGTGATCCTTGTTTCGGCCCTATCTCCGCTCTTTCCCTGCTTTTCTATTTTCCTTGGCTTTCGCGTGCTGCTTCCGCGCTCTTGCCATCGCCATCACCCATGTTAGTTCTCGGTTGGTCGGTTTTCAGCTAGTCTGTTTTGAGTTAGCCTGTCGACACTAACTGAACCTCCTATCCTCCACCCACCTTTTCTTCCACCATTGACGCACTATGAAGCCTTAATTCCTCGCCTAACTTCGTATACAAGCAATAAGTACGTATTATTTCGTGATACTGCAGGTATCTCGCCCGGCTACAAGGAATTGGGGACGCTATTGAGCTTCACGTCATTTTAATCACCCGTCCCGCTGTCCCGCACCTTTTAGTACATGTCTTTTGCACGCTACTGTACATCAGCTCATCCCGTCCGTAACTTAGTTCCCCGATATCAGAAATTCTCCAACACCGTTCACTCTCCGCAAGCTCTATCTGGATGGATCCTTCCATTGCAGGCCACAGTACAAGTCGAGGTAGATGTACATGTAACATCAACAGTTGAAAATGACCTCCCTTCGGTTCCTTGGTTGTACTCGTGTACTCATGTACTCATGTACTCAGCACATCTGTCGTCTCGGTGCCACCATGACCCAGATCGTCCCGTGCCTGGATCGGATTTGACCCGGGCGTGTGGCTCGGTTATACATAGATAGATCTCGCCAGCCTAATCTGTGTGACATGCTGCAGATTTCCAACCCGTTTTCAACACGCAGTGTCATCCCCTCACTGCTTCAGCCTCTGCGGGTTCTTTCCTGTGGTCACTCGCTTGCAAGCATTCTAGCCATTGTTGAACTTCAACATCGCGGCTAGTCGCAACCAACCTTGATGAAACTGACCCAGTTGCCTCGACGTGCATCGGTCCGTTGCTTTTTCCCATTCCGTCCCGTCCTGTCTGCCGATGCTGCCGCGCAGCCTTAGCGAAGGGAGCACGAGTGAAGTCAAATGTGACTTCTCCCATTGTTGCACTTCTGCCTCAGTGTGCATCACTAGATATGGAATCATTTCGGGGAAGGAATCCCGCAGAAATGAGAGAGGATCGCGTCCACCGAAATCCAGGACGCCTTGGATGGTCATTTCTTTCTGCCAGAGCGTTTCTTCAGTCGGTTTTAAGGACTGATGTTCCCCCATATTCGTTAGGGCTTCATCATCTTCTTCTGGTTATGCAGTCTTCAATTCGTCACAGTTTCCCTTCCATTTTTGGATACTAATCCATGACTCGGTGTTCAGTGTGAATTGCTTACCTGCATACAATAGGTCACGACCAGACTGATACCTGAGTCCTGCCTAAACCCCTCCTTGATTGTGTTATCCTAGTGGAGAGATTGTCTGATGGATGTTACGCTCCCGATTCTTATTCGTTTCTAAGGACTAACCGGTAAATCGAGCGAGATGCAGGAAGGAGGTATGTTGCTTCCGGCAGGATTTCCTGAAAGCCTTCCTAAGCCCATGGCCTGGCTTCCCCATGAAATCGACGAGGCAACCTATACGCATTCTTTGACCGGCACCGAGCTAGGGGAGATCAAGGATGCCCTCTTTTTGTTCAAGGGTATCCATCTCGCTCAAAATGTCCAACAACTCGCTAATATCTACAGCATTGGAGCTGGATGGGCACCAGGTCAGCCCGCAAAATTTCCGCCTGCCAACATTGGGACCGATTCTCCTTTCTCTAGCGCGCAAACTGCATGAAGGTTGCGGATTTTTTTTGCTCAGAGGCCTGGATCCATGCGAATTCAGTACCGCGGATAATGTCTTGATCTTCTTGGGTATTGCCAGCCACATTGGCAATCTCAGAGGACGGCAAAACAAGAACAGACATATGCTCAGTGAGGCAAACCCGGTTGTGGTCCAAGTAGAAAAACCACTAATGCTGCCTAGCCCATGTCACCGACGTCATTTCCCCAGTCCCTCGGTCTAAGCGGCATGGGATCAATTCAACTGTGGAGATTGTATGTCCCTGAGTACACCTCCAAAATAGTGGTCAACCTTGCTAACGCACGGTGTAGGAGTCGCACACGGAGGTCATCAGTGACATTCTGGCACTCCAGACCATCCGAAAGGCGGCGACTGGTGGTACAACGACCATTTCCCCGCTTTGGTCGATATACAATGATCTGGCGAAACGAAGACCGGATGTAATTCGCCTCCTCAGTGAGCCATTGTGGCCTTTGCAAAAGTATGGCTGAACGTCACGCATTTTTTATATCTGCAGCTGACCGCAATGCAGTCCATATACGCCACCCAACATATGTCGACCGCTTCTCTTCCACACGAACGGCAAGGTGATTCTAAGTTTCGATCCGGGTTCACTCCGAAGACTCGAAACCGAGACTGTTCCCGGTGTCCCTCCACTCTGCGACTCCCAACTCGAGGCAATCGAGGTGCTTCTTTCGACGGCCGCCCAATATCGATATCCGGTCACAGCCCAACCAGGCGATATGCTTTTCATCAACAATTTCAGCCATATGCATTCGCGCTCAGCATATGTAGACGAGGGATGTCAACGACGGCATCTTATCAGATTGTGGCTGCACAACCAGGAGCTGGGATGGCAACTTCCGGGGCATTTACGACCATCGTGGGAAAAGGTGTTCGCAAATGACGACAACATGCCTGAAAAGTATCCGGTGGAGCCTGTTCCTATTTACAAGGCTCCGAGGATTACGATGGGAAGCGGGAGCACCCATCTAATTGAAGACGACTCAGATGATTGATTTGTACAACACAGTGTGTCGGTGTTATAGCGGATCGGGTCAGACCCTCAAATACCCCTGATGAAAAAGGACTGGTATGGGACATAAAAAGCAAGCCATTCATTTTTTGTTCTTTGTTTTGTGGTATTGCATTGTGGAATAGCAAAAGTTCAAGCATCATATAGAGCCTGTGATATCTTCAATTCTTCCAGCACTTCGGCCAAGTTTGGTCGGTCGAATATTTTCTCCCCACTGTGATGTTTTCGTTGATGCTCTCGATCCTTCAGAAATTTCTCCATGGCTTGCAGCTCGGCTTTCCACCACCCCGTGCTCTTGTGAAGTGTTTCCTGATCGGTGGCAGCGCTCCGGTCTCGAGGCAGGACCGTTTGGCCCAGTCGATAGACTGCTGGTAGTCGGCCATCGTGTTCAGGCGCGCCAGCTGTGCACCTCAGAATGAGATCCCGCACTGACGCAGGGCAGCTGACGAATGTTGGAAACTCAATACTCGAGTCGTCGAGTCCGGCTTTCCATAGCGCGTCTATGCGATTGGGTCGGCCGACGTGTTCGAAAAGACACCATAGCAATCTGCCGAGCATATACACCGTGGCGGACTCTTGCTGGACTTCAGACAGCGCATTCCAAACGGTATTCGCATTCTGGATTCCTTGGAGGGCATAGGCCTCGTAGTGCATGTCTTCGGCATCAGATGTGATGTCACACTTGAAGATATCTAGCAGTTCCCGGCACTGCGCACGGTACTCGAGAGGGACGTCTTCCGTGTCGGAGTTGACGAGATGCTGCAAGTAGTCGAGATAGAAGACTTCAGGGGGTGACCAGAACCGCCAATTTCCACGTTGTTCCAGATCAATTAAGATTGTGGAGGGGGAGGTGGACGTGGTGGACGTAAGATTCGGGCCATCGATTACGATATTGTCTGTTCTCAGATCACAATAGTAACTGCGGTTTTTTTTGACATGTAACATTGCCGAGCAAATCTCAATCGCCCATTGGCATGACAGGCGCAATGATTGGGTCGATGAGTGACGCAGCTTGGGGAGCATGTCTCTCAAGGAACCGAGCGGAAAATATCTGATAATGAACCCACAGACCCCGATTTTACTTCCGAAGCCGCAGCGTTTGGTCACTAGAAAAAGTGGGCGAGAGACGATGTTTGAGTGACTTGGAAGTGATAGAAGGATTTTGATCTCGTGATAGAGATAAAAGCAGCCTTCAACAGATGACTTGAAAATAACTTGGCCATATTCCGGCTTGTTTCGTATGCGAACGACCGATACGGTATCATGGATCTGTTGTTGCAGGTCCAATTCATGAAGATCGAGCACTGATGGCCACTGGTCCAAAGGTACCTCCGTCCAAATGTTCCTTAACACTTCCAAAGGGAGCATTTGCTGTTCCAGTTCGTGATTTCTATGGAATTGCACTGGGATCAGCCCTGCATCATCATCAAGGTAGGGAATGATGATACTCGATCCGAAGGGGCTATTCACGATGTCAGTGGCAGAGATGTTCTGAGAGCGAGTCCAATCATCAAGGATATCCAATACGCGAGTGACGATCGGCAAGCATCGTATATCATCTGCTCTGTTGCAGCACAACGCCGAGGGTTGATATTTCTTCTGAACCTTCCTGGAGTGTTCGCGCTGGTCAGGTATCAGGCAATCGATCCGTAAGGGTACGGTGGACTCCAAGAAGAGTGGCACTGCGAAGAGCCTTGTCCCTGCTGCTGCGCTGCCGTGGATGCGCCACATTCGCCGCTTCGCTGCATTAGGGCTTCGAGACCCTGGATTTTGGTTCGGTTTTGATATGGTCGGTGATTCTGTAGCTTCCATTTCGCCGATACGCTCTTCTTTGAGGTTCTGGCCCTCATCGTGGTGGCCATCATCTGCGTCGTTCCTCGGGACTAGGTCGTTCAAGAAGTCGGTCGGGTCTAAGAACGCAGCAACCGGTGTGCAGAGGATTTCATATAAGCTTGCAGAAATTTCCATCAGGCCTGATGGTGGCCATCCAGCCCAGCAACGTAGAACAGGAGACTTGGAGAGGTCTAGCCAACCGGAATAGCTAAAACTTGAGGTCAGATCATGCCTAGTTCGTTGATCAGAAAATTCTGCTCTGCTTACTTATATCAAAGATCTTAAATGCCGATATTACAAGGGATCGATGGCATGACATGTCATGTTCAATTCTTGAGTGCAGCCAGATGTCTCCTCGACCGATAAAGGCGGGGATCCTCCAGCGTGCATCAGAGCATGCATGTGCCTCGAGGATTGATGCGCTGTTCTTATGTAGTCGACGGATTAGAATAGATGTTGAACAACTAAATAGGTAAGTACTAAGTAAAGAAAGAAGAGTTTCAAAAACCGTCACACGGTGCACTGTCTCGGGATGGATAAGGTTCGTGATACTGTCATCAGTCTTCGTACTCTATCACGACCTACTCAGTATCTACTACGGAATGCTATTAGTACTTATCTGCACTTACGCACTTCCTTATAGAAGGAGGACAAATTTGAGTGCTGACAGTGAAGCTGACGGTGTCGTTGATAGAGGTTATCGTCGACCTTCGCAAATCGCAGTCGACCTCGGATTAGCCCCCAAGATCATCGCCAGCTTCCTAGTCATGAAGACGATGCCCAGACTTCGTATCTCCAGGGCCCCATCACCAACAAACTCCATTGTCCCCTCATTGGCCCATCGCACTCGTTTTTGCAGGGACAAGCACGGCATCCACCCGTATTAGCGCCGGCCGGCAATGGAAGCTCGGAGCACATGAAAAGCAAGCTTGTCAGCTTGTGAGATAACCTCTCGGTCTCCCATTCTGCCGCGTAACTCTCTCGGTGGCCGACATGGTAACTCCAAATCCCCATCCATTCGACCAGTGGAGGTGCGGGTTCCATCGGTAGTGCGGCTTTCACCAGCCTGAGAATGGTTCCAAACCAAACCCTACACGGAAGGCTATTTCCAATAGCGGGGAATGCTGGTCGATACTCGATAGCCAGCAGAAGTAGACACGCTGACACGATGCGAGGTTGAGATCTAAAAAGGCTGTCTGCCGCGAGGAGGGGCAGGATGAGTATTGAACGGGAATTCCGTTATTACTTACGAGTTACGACAGACCAATGGATCCTTTCCCGGGTGGTGACAAACTGATGACGCACCCATCACGCTCCGGCTGGTAGCATTGCATGATAGGCCCAGCTGAGGTGATAGGTACCAGTATACATGTATCAGGCTCTACTCATTGCCCGCTGTTCGGGAGTACCGTGACTCCGTGAGCGAAAAATTGAATCTCTGGTAGCACATATCGTCATATCAGTCGATCTCAGGTATGGGGAGATGTGGATAGAGATATTGAATTTAGGAGTTTCCGCTAATGCCTCAATGGTATAGATTCCTGCATCAATATCGGTATAGAGATTGAACCCACGATGTCGTCCGGCTACTCCAACACTCCAACGCCCTCATCACCATCGCCCAGCAAATTCCGACGCCTCTTCCAACAATTCCGACACTCCTTCTCAAGCTCAAGGAGCTCCATCAATTCCGGCGACTCCCGGAGATCAAGCAACATCGTGGATTCAGAGCCGCCCTCTCCGACCACCTCCGCCTCCTTCTCCTCCTCCTCCTCCTCCTCCTCC